TCTGGTTTGAGATCTCTGGTTTCTGCTACACCATCAATACTGGACCCTCAATGGTACTCCTCTTGGATAGCCTGTTGTCACCCTGTGTCATGGAGATCCTGCAGCATTGGGTCTGCAGGTCTGGCCCCTTCATGTCCTCCAGTAGATCATAGATGGGGTGAATATTGGCATGAATCTACTTGTAACATGAGGGGCCGGCTTGTTGGGGTTTTCTGTCCTGCCCAGTTCCCACAACTGTTTAGCCCCAAAGAAAATCACACAGAGATCTTCATAAGTTATAAGCTGATTGGCCCATTAGCGCAGGCTTCTTATTAGCTCTTATGACTTATATTAACTCATTATTCTGATCTATTTTAGCCATATGACTCGATCCCTTTTTCAGCTGGCAGGTCACATCCTGCTTCCTCGGTGGTCTGTGCGGGACTAGGAGGAATCAGCTTCCTCCTTCCCAGAATTCTCCTGTTCTCATTGCATCACCTCTACTTCCTGTCTGGTTTTCCTGCCTATACTTCCTGCCTGGCCAATCAACCTTTATTTAAAACATGATTGACAGAATATAGACAATTCTCCCGCACCACCAACTCATAATCCTGGTTATGGGCTTGGGTAGTTTGCAGGGTTGGTTAGTCTTCTAGCTCTTCCCTGTCCTCATGACCAAGGTGAGCTCTCTGGCATTGCCACTTCTAGTTCACCCCTTGCTGCAAGGAGCAAGGAGCAGGGTCAGTCCTCTTGCTTTCATGCTCTCGGGGTCAGCTCTTCCACATCTACACCGGCAAGGCCAGCTCTACTGTGTTGTCCAGCCAAGGTACGGTGGCCACTCTCCCAAGTGCTGGAGCTGGTAAGGGGCAGGGATAGCTTATGACCTCTGGACAAACTCTGCCACCTACCAGAGACAGTAAGGGATGGCAGGGGTGGAGGGCATCTCTCCCCAACCCATACCACCACATGGCAAGTGAGGGATGGGGCAGATCTCCCAAGCTCACATTCTCGGGGCCAGCTCACATGTACCTCTGTCAATAGGGTCAACTCTACTGTGCTGCCCTGGTGAGGAGCAGAGCCTGCTCTCCCAAGTGCTGCAGCTGGCAGGGTCAGGGCAGCTCTCCCTCCCCTATGACCCCAGGACCAGCTCTCCCATCTGTCACAGATGTTGAGTCGGTGGTAGAGCATCTCTACCCCACCCATGCTGCTATATGGCAGATAAGGAGACTGGCCCGACCGCCCATGGTCACCTTCTCAAGACTGGTCTTCCTGCTCCTCTGTCAATAGTGTCAGCTCTACCATGTTGCCCAGATGAGATGCAGAGCCTGCTTTGCTGAGTGCTGCAGCTGATATACAGGAGAGTCAGCTCCCTCGCCAGCTGGAGGCAGAAGGGGTGAGGGAGGATGGCATCTTTCCCTTGCCCCTGCCACCAGACAACAGACGAGGGAGGCGGTACCAGCTAGCCCACTCTCTTGCCCTCAGAGTTGGCTCACCTGCACTGCTGTCTACAGGGTGAGCTCTACCGTGCTGCCTAGGTGAGGCACAGAGCCTGTTCTCCTTGAGCGCCAGTGAGGGGTTGGGTCAGCTTCCCTGGTCCTGCAGGTGGGGAAGGGGCAAGGGAAGGAGGGCGGGTTTTCTCTCCCGTGTCACCACGTAGCAGATGAGAGTGGCCGGACCCGCTCTCCCATTCTTATGCCCGCCCGCCCGCAGAGCCACCTCGCCCATGCCCACAAACAGGGTCAGTTCTACTGCGCTGCCCAGGTGAGGTGTAGGATCCTCTCTCCTGAGTGCTTCAGCCGGTGAGGGGCGGGAATTGTTCTCCCTAGTGCCGCAGCCAGTGAGGGCCAGGGCGGATTCTGTTCAGCCCTATCCTCTCAGCCTCTGGTGGTTCAGGAGCCATGAACATCAACACCACAGAAGCAGCCAAATGTGGGCCCCACAAGCAGCCCTAGCACAGATATCACCACGGCCGTGGGTGACAATCAAGTCACCCACCTCTGCCTGCTCTTAACCGCTTTCCCCTCTTCAAATACGCCATGTCCACGGGACACGGACCATTCTCTCCTTTCCCTCTGTGAGGGCCACAGTTCTGAATCTGTTCCTTCTTGACCAAAGGTCAGAGTGGTCAGCTCTAATTTTGCTCCTCAAGGATGGACAGATGATTGACCAAGAGTGTGGCTACTCTCCAAAGGCCAATCTACAAGATGTTTTACTAGGCCGTGGTCATCAGGTGTTTTGAGATGTGAGGAGGTTATCACGCTTGCTTGTTCATTGTGTCATGGGAGTCCAGTGCCCTTCCATTCCGTTTTGATTGCGGTATATAAAAAGTAAACTTGGGACTGGTCACTGGGCGGTGGTGGCACAAGCCTTTAATCCCAGCACTTGGGGGGCACAGGCAGGCAGATCTCTGTGAGTTCAAGGCCAGCCTGATCTTTAAGAGCTAGTTCCAGTTCCAGGACAGCTAAGGCAGTTATACAGAGAAACCCTGTGTCGAAAAAAAAATAAAAATAAATTAAAAACAAAACAAAACAAAAAATCAAAATAACCTTGGGGCTGGTCTCTCTTGATGCCCTTCCAACTCTATCTTCTGTTTCTCATCTATTTCTTTCCTTAATCTACACCCCCTTTCTCTGGAACGTCAGGCCTGACACCTCTCCCTCTCTCCCTCTTCCCTGCCCTCGCCGCCATACTACTCCATCCATTTGCTCACCATAATTGTGCTTGTGACGCCTGGCACGCCTATGTTTTCTCCTTGGAGCCCAGGACAGACCCTGGCACGCATGTGGGTCTCCCTGTCCCATGCAGTCTAACATGGAGCGGAGCAGGACCATGCTTCCCCCTAGTTAACAGGGTTCTTACACCAGTAATATTCACATGCACACTCTACCCTCACTTTTAATCTTTTCTATAGCAAATGCTTAGTTTGATTTTCTATTTTATCTTTGTTGTAATTTTATTAATCTGTACTTATTTGCAAGAGACGTAAGAATTCTAGTTTTCTTAAAAATAATTGTTTCTCATACTTAATATTTAAAAAAAAACACTTACATTGAAAACTAATTTGGGAATTTAAGAAACTATAAACAATTATCATAATCAAAGATTTTGCTATTTTTACTATATTTTTATTTTAAAATATTTGTTCAACTATTCTACTGAAGTTTTATTTTCTAAATTTTTAGTTCTATTTGGATATTATATTTTCCCAAATATTTTATATGGTACAGTTCAAATTTTTTTAAAAAATAATTATTTAATAGAGTGTTTTATTGATTTGCCTTCTCTAGCTCTTTTTTTGGTTAGATTTATTTAACTATATTTTCTGTGTGTGGGTGTTCTGCTTGCATGCATATCTGTGCACCACATGTGTACAGAGACCTCAGAGACCTCAGAGACCATTGGGTTCCCTGGACCTGCTGCTAGCCTCAAATGTTGTAAGCCACCCTGTGGATGCTGAGACTTGAACCCAGGTCCTTAGGAAGAACAACCATGTTCTTAACTGCTGAGTCATCTTGCCAGCCCCTCTATTTAACTCACAAACATGCCTTTAGAGTATAAATTTGCTTTGGCTGTAATTCTAGGTATGTCATACAAATTTCCACAGACATAATTTTAACTGCTTACCAAATAGCTATTGATCATTTTTTTCTCCAACTGGCAAAATAGCATTTTGAGTAAGATACTGTGCTTTTAAGAATAGTATGTTGTTGATATTGTAAAATTTGTACTTTTCTGTGTGTGTCATTTACCGTGATCCATGTAAATTAAAGAATGTTTTGTTTATTTTTGTGTCTGGATGAATGAACAGTGGGTGTGTATTTGTTCATGTATGAGGGCATACACATGTCTCCATGTGTATGTGTATAAGTCAGATTGGGTGTTGGTCTCCCCTCTTACACTTTAGGTGGGGTCTGTCTTGTTTGCTGCTGATTATGTACTCCAGTGAGCTGGGTTGCAAGCCTCTGGGGTAATGCCCTGTGTCTGTCTCATCTCTGTAGCAGTGCTGGGTTTACAGCCACGGACTACTGTAGGAGTGCTGGGTTTACAGCCATGGGCTACTGTAGGAGTGTTGGATTTACAACCATGGGCTACTGTAGGAGTGTTGGGTTTACAGTCATGGGCTACTGTAGGAGTGTTGGGCCTACAGACACAGGTTACTGTGTCTGGCTTCTATGTAGGTTCTGAGGATCCAAATTTAAGTCATCAGGTTTATACTGCCCATATGTGACTATATTGAAGTTTACTTTTTTCATGTGATGCAAATATTTTTAATACTATAGGAGTTGCTGAGAAGGACATTCTCTGAAAGCAGACTATAATATGTATAAGTAGTAACAATTACGTTTACTAATTTCAATGATAGAATACTTTAATTAATTTTTAGTTTCAAAATAAGATCTTTCTGCATATCCCTGAGTGGCTTTGTGATCCTCCTGCCCCAGCCTCCTGAGTGCCCGGGTAGCAGGTGTATGCCTTATTGCTTAAAAACTTACAGGCTGCAGATTTGCCTAGCATGTGGGAGGCCCTGGATTCAATGCTCACTACTATAAACACACACACATACATGCACGCACATATAGTTAAAATTCACCTAATAGTTTGAAGTCTACTGGAAATGTCATAATTCCTCCCACAATAAGTGTGTGCACATTAGTTTTCCTTTGACCACCAAGGAGTTTCACTGAATTTTTCTATTTCCACTGGTTTTTCTACCTATGTGTTATTATGTATGCCATTGTCATTGTAAAATGACTTTGATACTTTGTATTTTGCCTTAGTTTTTTTTTCTGTTATGGCATTGCCAACTTTGACTCAATTTAATTAGTTTCCTTCTTTTTACAATTAGTTAATTTATTTCTAAAACATTCATTCATATTCTTAGAAATAGCAAATGAACAGACTGGGAATCTTAATTCCAGTTGAGTCTTTTTCTGGCACATAGCAGATATTCAGTGAACCTCAGACTGTGGAATGACCTTTAACCTTGCTACATCTCGCTTTTGTTTTCTGTTTCATTCTAGGTGGGCCATAAAGCATAACAGTACCAGAAAGCCCTGCCAATGGAAACACTCCAAAGTTGAGAATCCTCTGTGGAACAAGCTCACTACATGTGGCTAGTCCTTCCCAGTTGCCAGCTTAATGAGGTTGTATGGCTTTATTTTATGTTTTAAGATCCGGTATCTGATCAGGCTTCTGAAAATGCCATGTACCTTTTTATTTCACTATTTTAAAAAAATATTGTTAATTCTGTTGATTACTGAAAAGAAGTGTGTGAATGTTTCCTGTGGGAACAAACTGAGCTGGTTTTCTCTTGCGATCCCTCACGTTTTACTTGCTAAACTTTGAAACACAGGTCCTAGGCACACATAGGATCAGAGTAGTCTGCTTTAGTCAGTCTTGTCTTTATGTAGAAACTGTCTACTTCTAATAAAAAGATCAGTATTCAGTGATGCTGAAAACATCTTAAAGTTTTGTTTATTGTATGTCGTGCGTGTTTTCTTTCCATCATTTTGCACTTTGGTTTTGTGTATTCTTCGAATGGATGGGCCCAATACTCAACTTATGAAGTTTGTCTGCCAATGTCCTCTCTAAACTAAAGCGTCTAGCCTTGTCTGTCCTAACTACATGTGGACCTGACTTTCTACTTTTCATGCCTTATCTTCCCTTCACCTCAGTCTTCTATTATATCATGGATTTTTTTTTGTCCTGATGGCGTTTTTCTCCATATATTAGGTTGTACATTGTTTTTTCTATTATTCATTCTTTTTGGAGGGGCAGTGTTATTGTAACTATCCTAAACATTCTAACTTGCATAAACAAATGACCAAAATGCAAAATTAATAAACATGTTTTATCTTCTCTCAAGTAATAGGACCATTAAAATAGTTAGTTTCAACCTTATGATTTCTGATATAAGGAATTCTTTGTCATATATTTAAGTTGTATCTCAAGTCTCCACAAGATATTGACATTTTTGCATGCAGTCAATATATTTCCACTTATTCTAAAGTTTTCACCTTACAGCTCAGGTCCTCCACCTAAGGTTACTTTCCTTCTGGCCTGCTTGCCTTTCATTTAGTTGGTGCCTAAAAGTGAAGTCTCACCTGTCTAAATGTGCCTCTGCGGCACCCTTGTTCTTGTCAGACTATACCCCCAAATTCTTTGGCCCTTACTTGTAAAATGAAGAGAAAGAACTGAGGCATTAAATTAGCTAGAGTTAGATGGATGGACTGCATCTTCCAAAATGACTGGGTTTTGGGGTCCTGCTGCTTCTTGAAATGTTTGGAGGAAAAAAGTACTTAGCAAGCAGAGAACTCAAATTAAACACAACCCATTTCACTTCAAGCCTGCGTCCATTTCATTTGAAAAACCCATATTTCCAAGTCCTTCTTCACATAATTGATTTGGAAGTTTGACATTCCTGTTGTGGAATTCAAAACACTTTGGGCATGTGTTCATTAATTTTATTCTGGATCTGATCTCCAGTTTTATGTTGTATCTATTGTTTGTAATGTTTTAGGTTTCGGGAGGAGAATAGGAAAATAGATGTGGTTTCTGAGTCCCAAATCTTACAGTTTAAGGACAGGCTGTAAGAGAAGAGAAAACAAGGCAGAGAAAGGAGGCCGGCATGCTGAATAAAGAGTGGAGTGAGGAGAGACACGAAACCTATGTAACAAGCTTTGTGTTTAAGTAGTGAAGGCTGCCTGTCCAGGAAAAGCGAGCCAGGCTTCATAGCCTGGAGGGGCCTGAACATTGAGTCACAATATTGAATCTAGGGAAAGCATTTAACAATCACTGAACTGAATGAGTATCCAGTTCTTTTAATTTCATGGCAAGAGTGATTCAACACAGTGATGATGAACGGAAGTGGTGAGAAACACAAGCCCTGTAGGAACACGAAGCTGTCTTCCTTGTGCCTCAGGCTGCATACGTGCTGCACCAGACAGCTGATCTGAGAACCCTTCCCATGCAAACGCCTCTTCTGGATGCTCATTATCCTAAAAGGAAATTAATAACATTTAATAAAATGTAGTAGTAAAGTACAAAATTTCGTGCATACAGGACATCATTGTTTTATAACATATTAATCATGATAAAAACACAGAGAACTAACACATTCTTTTGGCTTATTCTAAACAAACCAATGGTTTTAGTCTGTTTATTTTATTCAGGAATGTTTAGTTTATTTAGGAATAGTTTATAGGAATGCGCTCTCAGGTTATTTTCTAAAACCTTGAAGAAAAGTTATAAATTGAGAAATTAAGTTTTAAATCTCCAAAGACAAGGAATAATGGGATTTTCCTATTCAGGGATGATATCGTTAGAATTAGCAAGTTTAACGAGAGTTAAGATTTTGGTTTGCATAACAGGATAATGATCTTAAAACTACTAAATTAAAATATATCTATTCAGATAGACCAACGATAGAAGAAAGTTAAAAGTACATGTTTTATTAATCTGTTGAGATATGACTTTTCAGTGACCAAAGATGTAAAGGTAAACATGACGGGTATCTGAAGATGTAAGACAGGGTGATGTGTCTACACACGGACCAGGAACTCTCTCACCAATGGTGCACCGTCTTTCAAAATGTCAAGCAAACTCAAACAATTTTTAAAAAAGGAAATGGGGAGGAATGCAGCCTTTAATGAACAAGCAAGAGAGACGAAGATTAGATTATTACGACCCAACGAAGAGGGGCCAGTGTTTTAGAGAAGGTGAAGTCATCGGTTATGAGCTCACTTCTGAACCCGCTCATCTGTGTGTGAAATGAGTTAAAGGGAAAGCAAGGGGAATTACCCACTTAAAGGCGCACCAGGGCCCCTCAGGGTTCTCCTGACAATGCAGCCACGCTGGAGAAAGGCCTGAGCACAGAGAAGACCAATAAAGAAATGAGGGGGAAGGCCAGAATTCCAACCGAGAAAATGGAGGGGGAGAAACAGCCGCAGCCAGTTTAATTAAGCATGTTTTTGTTGTCCATCATTATCCTGAGGCCGTATTTCTCTATTTGCATGAAAGACAAAGTCAATGTCTTGAATGGGAAAGCAGGCATAATGGCAAACCCCTATCTACGATCCTAGCACTTGGGACGCTGAGGCAGGAAGATTGTGATAAGTTTAAGACCACCCTGGGCTACATAGATGGTACCATGTCAGCCAGGACTCCATAGTGAAACTTTGTCTTAGAAAAACAAACAAAAGCCAATTAAAGAACTTGTAAGAACAAGAATTAAGATATTTTAATATTTTATTTACATTTCTTCCTCTCTCTCTGTGTGTGTGTGTGTGGGTGTGTGTGTATGTGTGTCTGTGTGTGATGGTACCGTGTGTTTCCCTTGGAAGTTCCTATGAAAGTCAGAGGACAACCTGTAGGAGTCAGTTCTCTCCTTCTACAGTGTGGGTCCAGGGGATTGAACCCAGCTCATCAGCTTTGGTGACCAGCACTTTTACATGATGAGCCATCTCACCCACTCAAGAATTAAAGTATCATAAAAGGAAGAATTGATGTTAGTAGCTCAGATATTTAGAAAGCTAATTTTTCATTTCTGGCTGTTTCTTTGATGTCTTACTCTGAGAGAGGGGTAGGGGAAAGTGATCTTTGGGGTTTCTTCCTTCTACCTAGAAGTCAGAGAAACCACTTGAAGGTGGTAGAGCATCCACTGAGCTGAACTACCACTGTCAGAGGCAACCTGGAGGCTAAATAAATCAAAACTATCACATCTCAGATTTGTTCCTCAGAAATATAATGTCGAAATTACTTTGATATTGCTATGATAATGACCAAGCCAACTTAAAAAGAAAACATTTGATTTGACTTTACAGTTTCAGAGGGTGAGAGTCCATAATGGCCAAGGGTCAGATCAGATCAAAGGAATACCTAAGAGCTCATATCTTGAGCCATAACCATAAAGCAGAGAGAAAGTTAACAGGGAACGGGGTGGACTTTTGAAATTTCAAAGCCCACCCTCAGTTACGTCTCCTCCAACAAGATCATACCTCCTGCTCCCTCCCAAACAGTTCCCCCAAATAGGACCAATCATTCAAATATATCACCCTATGGTGTCAGCCGCTCTCATTCAGTCACAATGAGGTGTCAAGAAACTCATAGTTCCAAACCCTTTCTCTATAAACTCGCAAGCACACAGGCTAACAGTGAGAGAGAATCATTTCGCTTGTTTTCCCCTTCCATGATTCAAAAAAGGAGAAATGTTAGTCATTTTACACTCAAATATCAGTGTGAAATGAATCTGTGTTTGCACCTGTGTGTGTGTGTGTTTGTGTGTGTGTGTGTGTGTGTGTGTGTGTGTGTGTGTGTATAAACCAGAAAGTAACCTTAGATTTCTGTCCTCGTGGAGTTTCTATTTGTTCTTTTTATAGACAGCGTTTCTCATTAGCTTAGAATTGAGAAGCAGGAAAAACTAAAAACTAACAAAAACAGCATTCGGTTTATGGAGTTAGGAGAATAACAGGAAGAATGAACGGTTAGGGATTAGGTAGTGGGCTAGAAATGTAGCTCGGTGCTGGAGTACATTCCTAGCATGCATAAGGCCCTGTGTTTGAGCACCAATACCGCAAAATATGCAAAAATTAGAAAGAAGAAATAAAATAAATCATAAAATTCAAAACTGACAGACCAGACTAGATGGCACATATACACAGAAACATCTGAACAAAAGACAATCTGTTCTTTGAAAATATTAATAAAAAATGTATGTATAGCCATACTTATAAGAAAATTTGGAGAAAAGAAATAATTTTAAGAATAAAAGAGGATATACCTGTATCGCTACTTGGGAAGGTAAAGGGATATTATAAATAACTATATGCTAATAATTATAGTAATTAATAAGATGGTCAAATTTTTAAACAAAAAAAATTATTAAAAAGGAGTCAAGAAGAGAGCAAAGGGGCTGGTGGGCTGGTTCCCTGGATCAAGGTGCTCGTCCATCCCTAGGACCCACACGGCATAAGGAGAGAACTGCGCTGCCTGGTGAGCTGTCCTCTGATCTCTAGCACACCACTGCACACACACAACACTCTCCTGAGAGCAACACAAATTTAATTAAAAGGAGACAGGCAACATGAGTGATCCATCAGCCATGGGAAAAAAGTTAACCCACAGCTCCACCATGGCCTCATTTTTCTGATTCGTTGAACTAAGCTCATAACAAACAAAAAATTCAGAAAACAAAAAGCAAAGAAATATCTTCCAGTTCATTTCACAAGAGTAGGAAAACATTGATACCACCACTGATGAGGATACTAAAAGAACTTTGTATGCTAATTCCAGTTACAAATATCTGCAAGTATCTTAAGGAAACTCTTAGCTCACTGAATTCAGCAATCTATAGACACTGAAATACACAGGGGCTGGTTTGAATAAATGTCAGTTGACCTTTATGCGGGAATGTAAGCTTAAATTTAAATGAGAAAATTAATGAATGTAATTGACACATAAATGATGAAAACACAAGTAATATAAACACAAATACAATTAAAAGAGTTTTGTACGACCCAACATCTGTCTAGCACTTTAATGGAGATGCTTCAGATTGAAGCTAAGTTCTCCTCCAGTTTCTGAGCTATCACCATGCCCCATCTTACATCCTAAAAACGTAGCAAAATGGGACTTTCTTAAGTGTACATAGAACATCTGTACACCAAACAAATTTTGAAAAGCTGACTTAAATGTATAAGAAATGGCAGAGGGTCAACAAAAGTCAATATGCAAAGAAGACAGGATACCGACCGAGATTTACCAGATAAGGAGTGTCGCCAGATGGAGTATACTGGGCATGGTGGACAAACTGGCATGCTGAAGAGAATGGCACTCACAAACCAGGGTGGATCCTGACAGTTTTCAGAATGGGCATGATGTCTCCAGGTGAGTTAATGCAGGGGGACGGACAGAAGAAAGAATGACAGAGAGGAAGGAAAGGACGGGTAACAGCAAGCTTGTCTTTTGCTGGACATCGTCTTTGACCACAGTCTCTTCCGTTTACTCTGCTTGCTCCTCTCAATCTCTGTAGATAGCAGTTTGATCCCCAGCCATCCCAGCGTGCTCCTGAGCCAACCTTAGTTTCATTATTTCCCACACATCAGCTCCACTCATCCTCGTATCTGATAAGCACGCTACTACCAATCCTTTGGTGCATGGAGGCCAGCACTCTTACCAACAGCGCTGTGCCCCCAGCACCCAAACAAACAAAACAAAATACCCCAATTGGATTGACCCAGTATTACAACTATATCCTAAGGCTTCGGCACTGTGGTGAGCCCTTACTGAGTCAGGGTCTCCTCTTATGAGGTCCCTGTATCTCCTGCCTTCGTTACCAGGATTTTCCAGCTGATGTCTAAGCAAGGCTCTGCTGTTCTTCAATGTATAGATTATTCTGTCCAACTTACGATTTTACTTTGTTCCCCAAATAAATAATCAGTAATTATTTGAAGAGTGGGTGAATTAATGATATGAGTAAAAGTTTAGTCAAGTAATATAAAGTCACAAATAATATAAATTCCGCAAAGGAAATGTTTGAAATGTGTTTGTTATTACTTCATCATCTTAGTCTGGTTCTTAATACCCCTCCCCCCGCCCGTGTAGTCTGCTCTGCCGCCTTCATGGAGTTCAAGATGATATAATTTCAGGCTATTGTAAAATTCCTTTTCACACGTTCTTCATTTCCTTCACACTGGCTAAAAATACTTCACACAGAAGGGAAACCAAAGATACTTGAGGTTAACTAACTTCTGCTTTTCTAGAATGCTTCTTTCCTTTGATAGTTTAAAAAAATGATCAAGTTTAAATTTAAAAAGTTGGATACTTTTTAAAAAGTGATCAATTTTAAATTTAAAAAAAAATCACTGGATTTTTTATGCAAAAAATACCGACAGTTTTTTGGAATGGCTCAGATGTCCAATTTTTGCTGAACGGATGAAGAATTGAAGGTCCACAAGACTCATATTATTTATTGTTCTTTCATTCATTTTTGAAGGCATTTGATTGACCAATAGAAGGTCTACTGGTGCCAAACAGCCCTGCCATGAAGAGGCCGGTTTGTAAGACACCAGAGCAGTTTGTCCCTGTGAGACTCCAAATCCTGAGGAATGGAGACAGGAGAAAGAGCAGACCCCTTGTTATGGGCCCAGATGTCTCACCGAGATGGAGACTACAGTAAGTACAACACCCATTCCCACTGACCTTCCAGGACACTTCCCAGCTTCTACAGGTGCCAGGCTTCAGCTTCAATGTTTCCTGGAAGGATTATATATTTATGTACAAAAAAGGTCCCATTTGAAGATGAAAACAGACATGGTTTTCTTTAGTTTCTTTATCAGGAACTTGAACTGTCCTCTGTTTTCTTCCACACACGAACAGAAGAATGCATTAGACAGGAGTAGTGGCTGCAGTTCAAACAGCTCTCTCTACGTTTTCAGGTAGTGCTTTTGTTCGAGTTCTACAAGCACATGTAGATACAAGTAAATTTACAATATGCTTGTTAAATTTGGAATTTAAATTGCTTAATGATTATTGTAAGTAACTATTCATCTATCTTTGGATTATTTAAGACCACAGTTCTCTTAAGTACTAGGAGAACACTGATCTACAAATAAGTCATCCCAGACAGCCTATGTTTCTCTACCACTGGAGACCAATCGCCTGCTGTATGTTTCGATTTTATGGATTGTGGGAGAGCTTTGGTGGGAAGAATGAGTTAAACACATTGTTTCTCATATAATTACCAGCAATGTTACCTCTTGACCTTTCTTCTGAGATCTTTAGGATATCTGAGGCTGCTGATAATAGTTTAATATTACTCTCTTCACATCGATTAAATATACTTCATACATCACTGAACAATGAGTAACTTTCAGATTGGCTGTCCACTGAACTGCCTGTAAAGATGATAAAGTAAAAAATTAATCTTCAAAGTAAAGTCAAGCCTGAAATTGAAATCTTTGACGCATACATCTCATAATTAGCTCATTCTGCTCAATGTAAGATGAGAGGGTAATGCCCTTAAAGAGAGTGTGACTTTTCGCTCACACCCGAAGCTAACACATCATTTCTTCCCCTTTCTACATTTATGCTTTTTTAATCTTATTTTTGTACCTTTAATTGTAATTATGAATTATACACAAAAAGCATCTATTACCTTAGTGTGTAAGATGCTTAGCTCACTCAAGGAATTCAGAAGTATTTTGAGAGATTAGCAAATTTGAACATCTATCTTGGCAGAGAGGATGTGAACTGGCCATTGTCCGAATGCTCTGCTCGTCGAACAACGTGTTGAGCTGTCAAGTATGCAGATAGTAACGCGCCACTTTGTTCAGCCCAAATTACTTTTGCCCAAATAATTAAAATAACCTGACATCCACTTGACAAAATTATTCTCCCAAGGAGAGCTCAGTCTTCCTTTGCTGACTGAGACAGCTTTGTGCAGGGTCATCTATAGCAAGTCCCAGAGCTGTGAGGAAATACTGGCTGACAAAAGGTTTAGTTAGAAAGACATACTCAAGAAGGGACATATTAGAGTCTGTGTACTGGCATCTTATTGGGCTCTCTTTAACAGACCCAACTTCAGTATCTTCCAGAAGAAAAGATTTGAATGACACGTGAAATATTTGCTCACATTCACATAAGATTATTTATTTTATAAAGTTGAGCTATTGTGAGTATGTATGTATGTATGTATGTATGTATGTTTGTATGCATGTGTATTATGCTAGAATAGAGATAGAAATCTATTTTAGCGCCATCCTGCTCTGGCTACCTGCTGTCCTTCGGTTGTGTAACAACCCACTGAGATGGTTTGGAGGGTTTGCCGATACTGTTGACACCACCTTTGACAAAGACTGAGGAAGACAGCCCTGCCTCTCGGCGTCGTGATCACCTGCTGTGCTGTTGCTTACCTCTGTCTGTGTGCTGCCTGCTCTGTCACATCAAGGATTAAAGCATTAGAGAGCCACTTTAATACAACCATTAAAGGCCTACAGGGGGCGCCACAGCAGCACTCATGAGTGATTAACCATATTTGATCCATTTTTCATTTCCTAAAATACAGTGTTTATAAAACTACACAGAACAGGTCTCTGACTTGAAGATTTGAAGGAAGATCTTTAAGCATTCCAATATCTCTATCAACATCCTTTTTCTGATCATCATCATTTAAAATTTGTTTAGAATAATAAAACCATTAAGTAAATAAAACACTATAGAGAAAAATGAATGTCATCTTTAAGTTTCATTTATTTACATTTTAGAGTTTTCAGCACCATGAAAAAAGGTTCGAAATATTGCAGATATATATTTTTTTACAAATCCTTCACAGAATATATGCTTCTTTAGCGCACCATATCATTCAGTATACAGTATGAAAATTTATATTTAATTATAAAACATGAAGTTTAATATTTACTTATATAAAATTTTGAAATTGTATCTTTTAAATAAAGGCAGATTATTGGCAGCAAATCATTATCAGTTAAGGTCTCACCACTTTCCCACACATTAAGACATGCTGTCACTAATCAACCGTGTCACATAACATGTGCATGCCTTGAATTATTGTTTGCAGAAATGTTAATGCTGAAAGAAAGGAGAAAAGCCATGCTGCAAACTATTCTGAAGCAGAAAGAAACCAGACTGAATTTCACCACCTTTTGGAGAGGTAAATGTTTACTATTTGAAATGCAAGTGTGTTTTACATGAGAATGCTTGTGTAGTCACACTTAACAGAGAGCACACAAAACATTTCTATACATAAATTGTGAATATAATGATTGTAGACATTTTAATCATATATAAAATATATATAGTATATATTGTGAAAGGAGGACAAAGCCAATTTATAAAATCTCCCTCAAAAATGCAAGATTAGAAAATTCCAGAAACCAGAATAACAGAATCCAGGCATTTAAATCTAGATAATCTGAGTCTGGAAAACATATTCATTATAAGGTGTTAGAGGCCAGTTGTTTCCTACTCTACACTTTGATTCTGGCTAGCATGGAAACTAGAAAGAGGAAGAAGTGCACAGAAAACTGCCTGTCTCAGCCCTCTGCAGCCTGCCCAGAAGGGCCAAATTCAGCTCCAAAGCTAGGACTTCAAAACAGAACAAAGGGTAAAGACAGATTAATTAGCCACCCATCCCTTCTCCTGCGACTCAACTGTCCTAACGCTGGGTGTTCCCACAGGTGAGAATTCACTCTAGGAAAATACGAGTGAGGGACAAATGTTGCTCTCCCATGGGCTTTGCCATTACCAAGCAGATATGCAAGGATATCAGTGCAGGAGATGAAAAGGCATTGCATTAGCTGTTGTGGTCTCAGCCAAACAGAAGCAGGGCGATCCCACCACTGTTGCACGTGAGGGATCTCACTCAGTGTACACCACTTCATCAAATTGAGCGTGAGACGATGTACTTGGCTTATTTCCTTTTACGACCACCTCAAGGACATCACTGGTCTCGTTATCTGCTTAATTGTTGAATGTTGATGTAGGAAATAAGAGTTAGAATGTTTCGTTTGAAGTCTTGCTGAGGAGCACAAAGTCATTTCTGGCTCCCTACAGTGGTACATGTAGCATCAGCAGTGTATGTCAAGACCTTCATCCCAACAATATTCTTTAGGAAATGAATGATCCAGCCCATCTGTTAGCTCTATTTCTCCCTCCCTAGGGTTTAGGCATAGCTAAAGGCAAGGAAACCTATGCTCCAATCCCTTCAGTGACTTTCCATGAACTAGAACTCAGGTATGCTATTCTAGAATCCAGAATACTTCAAGCTGCTGCTATCTTCTTTATAGGCTCGTCAGATCCCCCAACCCATTCATACACCTTGGCCCAGCCTTAATTCTTCTATTTTATTTTTAATTTAATTTTTTTATTTTTTGAGAATTTCATTTCTACCTTCCTTCTTCCCTCCCAACTCCTCCTTCTCATCTGTCAAGTTCAACCTTTCCTTTTCTTATTATTGTTATTGTTTTGCACACACACCCCCCCCCCCCCACACACACACCCCTACTGAGTCCTTTTATTGTTTTTCATATGTACATGTGTTTAGTGATGACAACTTAGTATTAGATAGCCTATCTGGGGGCTCATCCATGGAGAAAACTGATTCTGCCGCTCTTAGCAGATAGTGATTAGCTTATAACTCTTCATCTAGGGTGGGACCTTCTGGAATTTCTCCCACCTGTGTTGGCGTATTAATTGATATGGCCATTATGCAGGTATTGTTTAAGCAACTATACTATTGCTATACCATGAGTGCTGCATCATGGTCAGATCTAGAACACACCATCTTAGCAGGCATCCATGTTCCCTGACCCTTACAGTCTCTCTGCCCCCATATTCCATGGCATTTCCTGATCCTTAGGTTGTATGGTACATCTCCCAAATAGGGCTAGACACCCTTTGTCACTTACCCTCTGACATTTTCCCAGTGGTGGATCTTTGTAGTAGCCTCTGTCTACTTCAAAAAGAAGCTTCTCTGATGACGGGTGGGCGCTGCACTTATCTTTGGGTATGAGGTCTAGTATTTAGAGTGAGTGCAGTAAGAAATTATATTGGTGTAGAAAAATGGCAGTAGTGGGTTCTCCTCTAGGGCCCATGACCTCTCCAGCCATAGGGGGTTCGCTAGGTTTACAATACTAAGCATGAATTCCCTCCTATTGAATGGGCTTTAATTTCAATTAGACAGCTGTTAGTTACCCACACACACACACACACACACACACACACACACACACACATAGTAGTCCCACTGAAGGCATCTTACTGGCCAAGCCTTTGTTGTAGCCAAGGCTTTATAGTTGGATGGGGTTATCAATGCCTTGCAAAGTTCCTGCTGATATTATGAGAGCTGGACACGAAGAGGAGGCTTCCATGGCAGTTACAGCTGGATTCCTTCAAGTTGTGTCTGAAGTGTGAGGTGTCTTCTGTAGCTGGGCCTTACCCTTGCGTTCCGAAGAAATCTAGGGCTAGCGCAATAGTCTATATTGTTTTCGGGGTCTCTTGGGAACCCCTAGCCAAAAATAGGGTTTTCAATGCCTGTAATAGGGGTTTTTGTCAGATAGTCTATGACTCTTGGGGAAAATATCACCCCACGTTGTATAACTACATTTGAACTGTATACATGCATATGTGAGTAAAGTATGTATGTCTGTATTTTTAAGTAAGCCTATAAAATAATATGCTCCCCTTATGGGCTTTTCACATATCATTAATGTTGATCCTTTTTCCTCTTTCCTTCTGTACTCTCCTTTCCCCTCCCCAGCCACAGTCTTGTCTGCCCCCTTTCTTCTTTCTCCCTTTGTTAACACCCACACACCCCCTCTTAAAGAACGATTCATGCTTTCAAGTCCAAGCCAATGTCACTTCCTTAGGTAAAGTCCCTGCAGGAAGGGATCCATTGTTTTCCTTTGCTCTTGAGAGACACTGACCATTGCCCACAACAGTACCCACTGTACCATGCTGAGAGCCAGTAGATGGCCTGTCCTCACTCTTGACCGGGTAGGCAACTCCTCCAGGAGTCAAGAGTGTATGGCATTCATCTCAGTGACCACAAAATACTGTGTGAAGCTTGGGGAGTGATCAATGATAACATTTAACTAGGCCAACATCCTGGTTGCAATCACTTCTGGGGGAGGAAGATGAGGAACTGCTTGATGGCAGGTGTGGCTTTGGTGACTTTGGAGAGCAACTGAAAAAGCCAAGAAACGTATTTGAGGTAGGAGGATGAACATGAGTTAAAGCCAAAGAAATGGCCCCATGTAGGTAAGACACAGGCTGAGAAAGTTTCGATTTCTTAAGTCCGCAAACCAGAGTCAGGAACTGAGAGTCAAAAGGACACGCTGGCTCTTGAGTCGCCATTAATGGCCAGGCTTTGGTTTCTTCTGCCTTCTTACCTCACTCCTGGAAGCCGCTTGTATGCAACATTATTTTCTACATCTCTTGTTGCAGGTGCACTGAAATTTTAGATTTACCTTCTGCTGCCCGGAGACTTTTCGATGAAAGGGGGAAGGAAATTTTTTCCCTGAGTGACCTGCAGAGAGATGAACTGGTAAGCAGGGGAGGGTGGGCCTGGAACCGTGAGTGGATGAGCACAGGCTGAGAAGAGCATCCTTCCGTGCAAGGCTTCCGGGCTCGCCATGCTTCCTCCTTCTCAGAAGTCCCCCTAAGGTGTCAATCATCCACAACCAATGCTGACCGGTAGCATTGCAGTCTTCCTAGGCAGTGGGTCAGGCTTGTGTGACTCAAGACGATCAATACATATGTGTTTATCATGCCTACCTTTTCCTTCACTACAGAGCCTAAGGCAGGCCAGTTATTCACCACTTCTGGTTTCTACATCTGTTGCTGAAAGAGCAAGACCCTTAACTCTTTTTGAAGTCTATCTATAGCTATTTAATGATTTCCTTATAAATGACTAATTTCCTTACTTTCTCAGATTTAACAAAAAGTATACATTTTCATACCCTCTAATTGGAGTCTAGAGAAAGCTGAGAAATGGAAAGTCTTGCAGGGCCTAGTCTTGCCCACCCCCTCCTCTCTGGAATTAGAGATGTCTGCGTAGGTGGAAACATTCCTTGCCTTGATTGACACCTGTAGCTCTTTGAATAAAAATCTCATGCTGGTAACCCCACTACTCCTAGAGACTGAAACAGGAGGATTGTTGTGAGTTCAAGGTCACTGTTGGCTCTATAGTAAGTTCTGGGCCCGTCTGATTTGTGTAGGAAAACACCATCTCAAGGAAAAACAACACGCATGCACACAAATGCGACAAAAACAAAATAAAATACAGCAACTTGGCTAGTGCTCTGAATCTGAGAACCTCTTGTGCGTTTGAAAGCCATGTTCAGTGAACAGTGTGAGAGGCAGCAGGTGAAGGGGCCTTGCTTTCGTTTCGGTAGATTTTATGTGGAATGCGAACTCTTATCGCTTCTAAGAGTTTTGTTTCTTATGTTTCTATTTGTACATGATGCTGGAGATCCTAGGCTTTGGTGACTATGTGGTCTCTACGGAAACACTAGCCACTGACTCCACACAAACAAATCAGCAAGTCTCTTTCCCAGGAAATCTGTATTTACCAAACGTACAGGCAGCTCACATCTGGGTCATGGGCACATTTGGCCAGCTTCTGATTATCCCTTCATTTCAGTTCTTCTCCCTTACCTTCCTTTCCATTAAAAAAAATTTTGAATTTTTTTTATTTGTAAATGACCATAGACTTATAGGAGTTGCAAAAAAGATGTGGAATGGTTTTGTTTGTTTGTTTGTTTGTTTTGTTTTGTTTTGTTTTCTCCCTGCTCCATGCTGTGCTGCATGAGAGGCTGGCATCACTGGCCAGCCATGGTAGAGGCCCTGGGGTCTATGCATGCAGTTAAGGCTGTGCCGCCTGCCGTGCACTCTGCAGAACCAGTGCCTTTGTCAGTGGCTGGTTCCTTTTCATTACCGGGTGGTAGTCCATGACACTGCAGTTTGGCTGTTCACCCTCCATATGGTCCTGACTGCTGGGATTGCTTCTACTCTGAACTGTTTCAATCCCTTCCACACCAGCTCCCAGACACATCTCTTTGATAGGTATACGTCTCATGTGGAGAAGCCTGGATTAATCCTGACCTCTCCATCGCTCAACAAAGGAAGCAAGTCCTCCTCAGGAGCCTTGAGTTTGACGTTTCCAAGATTAAAACCTTTTGCAGATTGTGCAAGGAGGAAGGTAAGCTTTGGCAGTACCTTACTTGCATACCCCAACACATCTAATGACCTGGCTTTATATTAAAATCATGTTTATTCAGAGAGTCCATGCCTCACCTCTGCATCTTGCTTTATGGCTCTTTAGCCTCATTCACTAAAGTATATTTAACATAGTTGCATATTTTATTACCTGCTATACTTCAGAAGAGCCAACGGTTAAAAAAAACCAACTCAACATAATTCCTTTTATGTTTTACAGATATGTAATTTGTGAGCCCCATGCATTCCCATCAAGGAAAGAGGATTAGATATCCAATCATGTTTTAATGTTGTACCATCTGTTTATGTCATCAATCTCTTAGGCAGGGCTTTAGAACTTTCTAGTCTGCAGAGCCCTCCCTTGGCTGAGAGGAAAGAACTTGGGACGTAGATCATCTTGTTCCTGAGTTCCCAGGCTGAAGTCTATGTCTGCAGTCACCTGTGCTTGATCGTTTGGCCCAGACAGGACTGGGAGTGGGCCATGTGCTTCCTCCCTGGTTCAGCCTCCTTCCTGCTGTCTTACTCTCTGGAACCAGGAAGTGGTAGCTGGCTTACTTCTGGCTAGAGAGCTACCTTATCCTTGTTTGTCAATCACTTTAGGAACTTTCCAGAAAGCTTCTTGGCAATTGATAGGTCAGCTGCATGTCCAGAAAGCCAAGTCCATATGCATGTGGCCATGCAGGGGCGGGGGAGGTCATGTCACAAAGGCCTGATGTTTCCCTAGTGTTTCCACAGTGACACCTATAAGGGGAAAAACATCTCCTTGCACTGGTTTCTAGTATTCTCTGCCTTCTACCTCTGTCCCTGCAGGGCAATACTGAAAGGTAAACTCTTTATACACTAAGTAGGAGAGAAAGGCTTGTGTTAAACGCATGCGCCAGTGCTGTATTTCTTGGCTTATATAGTTGTCGTCTTGGGACAGTATGCTGTTTGAATGTCAAAAACTGTCGTTAGCATCTGGGGAGTCAACTCAGTCAGCAAACCGCTAGTCACTGGGGCTGATTGCCTGCATGCTTGTGAAAAGTCAAGCGTGCTTACAAGAACCTGCCCTCCCAGCACTGGGGACAGAGACGGAGACTGCACTAGTCAGCTGAACCAGCCTAATCAGCCAGCCTCAGTTCCCCATAGGGAGCCCTGGCTCAACAAACAAGATGGACAGCGGCAGAGGAACAGCGTAACAGCATGTGGTTGACGTCTGCCACCCCTACCCCTACTCTTGCCTTTGGACTTTTGAGTTTTTCTTGTAGTATCTCTCTCTCTCCCTTGTGGACTTCCCCTTTCCCTTACCAAAGTAAGGAAAAACCATTATCCTCCACAGTTTTATATACCTTTCGCAGTACTGGATTTCATGCTTGAGTCTGAATCTCAGAGAACAATCTAAAGACGTATATGAAAATCTATAGCTTATTTGAATAACTGGAATAGAGAATCACTAAATTAACCTCGGAAATACCTACTATTAGTATTATTGTCTAAGTAAATCTCAAGAGGAAAGAATTAGCAAGCATCCAGTTAAAGTCCAGCTTCTTAGTTTAAAGAACGCCCAAAGGCTGAAGGTTTTGCACTTCATTGAGTATGTAATTTTGAATTCCTGGTGCTCTTCAGTCATGACTAATATGTCTTTGCAATTGGTTCATTTCTTCTCAGCTCTCGTTTTAGACATCCGAAGTGACCTTGTGTCTGGGGGCAAGCTCGCTGTGCATAAACCTGTAGTCGTTGTTGAGGAAGAGAAGCAAGAGAAAGGAGCAGCGGGAACTCAGATACAAAACGATGCTTTAATACCAGGAATTGCTCCCAGAGATGCTCTGTAAGTCGTCACTGTGGCTGGAAAAGGGGCCAGTGCTGTGTGACCGCAGCTCTTCCACCTGAGGCAGTGTGGAGCCCATGCAGGGAACTCAGAGATGTCCCTGAAGCTCCATCACTTGTCACACAGCACTCACTTAGTTTCTGACAGACTAATGCACCTAGAGTATTAACCGTCACTTGCAGCTCCTTTCAGCAAAGCAGCTACGATGCCATGATTCTTTTTAAAGACACCCCAGGCAGGTTTTGTGACCCGGGGTCTCAAAGATTCCCTGAGTCCAGGGTGCCACTGGCTCACAAGGCAGCTCGTTCTGCTTTGATGACTCTACTGACTGGTTTTGTATGTCAACTTGACACAAGCTAGGGTCATCAGAGAGAAAGGAGCCTCAGCTGAGGAAATGCCTCAATGAGATCCATCTGTAAGGCATTTTCTCATTTAGGGATCATTGGGGGAGGACCCAGTCCATGCTGGGTATTGCCATCCCAGGGATGCTGGTCCTGGGTTCTGTAAAAACGCAGACTGAGCAGCCATGAGAAGCAAGTCAGTAAGCAGCATCCTCCATGGCCTCCGCATCAGCTCCTGCCTCCATGTTCCTGCCCTGTTTGAGTTCCTGTCCTGACTTCCTTCAGAGGCGAATAGGAATGCTGAAGTATAAGCAAAATAAACCCTTTCCTCCCCAACGTGCTTTTTGGTCATGGTGTTGCTTCGCAGCAAGAGAACCCTGACTAAGACAGATGACTAACTCTCAGAAATCTCTGCCCCTTGAACTCATGCTTCCATGTGGTGAACTCCACTTCTAGCTGGCAGGCCTTCAGTCCTCACTTATCAATGGACCTGGCTGTCCCTCTTTGAACATAACTTTCACTAGTTCTTTGAGCTGCATCCAATGACAATGTCTTCTGTATCTATTTAATTGTGTTTTTAGTTATCTAATTTTGAGTTGGCATGAAAAGTCATGGGTTTGGCTACAGTGTTATCATACACCCATCCCATCATGAGTTACCCCCCCCCCCCACTGCCGCAGTCACCTTCTCCCCAAATGCCCCCATTGGGCTTCCTTGATACATAACCTTCATGACCCTCTGTCATGTTCCTTCCTCCCTGACCGGTCAGACATCTTTGGAGTCCCTGTGTGATTTCTCTGGACTCCCCCGTTCTGTGTCTCTGGAGGATCTAGCTGTGAGAACTGAGGTGATTTAAGAAAGGGTATCCATCAAGCAAGATCTGCGAACATAAATCTAAAAGGGACCTTTTCTTCTCTTTTTGAGATTAGTATTTGATTCCAACATTGCTCCCTCCCCTTCCCTCCATTCACACCCCCCATTTGCCCTTCCTCGCTCTCTTTCAAACTCATGACCTCTTTTTTCTCTCTCACATGCATGTATGCATGTACATATATATTCCTAAATATAACCCACTCAGTCCATATGTTATTTGTATGTATGTTTTCAGGGCTGAAAGGCAGGCTTTTTTTATTGCTGGGTTCTGTGGAGAGATGTGTGCGAAAGCCTGGAAGGAGCAGTGTGGGAAAGAGCCTGGGCACTAGGTCTACATCCCTGCTGATGGGAAGCAAGTCCAGAGCACAGAACGTGGGGATGACCTACTCATTCCTCACAGTGTTGCCGAGACTGTGCCTTCCTAACTCCTGAGCTCTGTCTGGAACCACGTCTCTGACTACCCACTCTGACATGTCAGCATCTTCCTGTTCCTCAAATGAATCAAATCCTCTCTTGGTTTTTTCAATTGTATTTATTTATTTACTTTTGACTAGAATGTTCTTCCTCAATAGCAGGATTCGTCTGGGCCCTCAGTTTTGAGCTGGCCTCGGAGAGGGGTCTGGCTTCACTTCTAAAGCATTACAGATTGCAGTACAGCGACTCCCTGCTGCAGTATCCTGTTTTCTTCCACAGGGAAGCTAGCTGTGGCTACGCATTTCCTTGTCTGCTATCTTCCTCTTCCCAACACAATGCGAGCATAGTGAACCAAGACCTTGCTTGCCTTGTTCTTTACTGTACCCAGCACAAAGAGTTCTATATCTGGCATATACTGGAAGTTAGATAAATATTGGTGAAAGGAATAAATAACTAGTGGGAATATGTATCTTATGAATAAGAGGTTTGGTTGATTAATTATTTAAACAAGATAGATTTTAGAAATGCTTTTCTAGAATTGACTTGACTGCATTTGGTTTGCCGGGACTAGCAAAGGCTGGTAAATTCCCAGTAGACTGTAGAACACAGTTTGTGTGGTGAGGGTGGAGGAGCTGAGTTTTCTGTTTCAAACACAAGATGGCACTGGCGTCTTTTCAACGACTGGGGATATGCTGACCAGGGAAGCTGCCTGGGCTCTGAAAGAGGCCTTGGTTGCCCTCCAATCTCATACCCATATGCAGCACTGGCCCTGGCACTGAAAAGTGCAAAGCCAGATGTGTTAACACCAGAGTTGCCCTGGAAGAATTCGGTCGTTTAATAATGCTGGTGCTTACACCAAATTATCACCACTACCTTGACGACCACAGCCTATCCCAGAGAAAGACTTTCATTTACCAAGTCACATATTAGAACTGAAATATGCATGCTGTTTTGCCTGTGTGTTTATACCTCCCTCAGCAGAACAGTCTTCATAGTGCTGTGTCCTGATCTTACTCAAAGCAAATGTGTTCTAAGAAAAACCTGGAGTTCAGAATCCACGGATCTGAACAGTGGCTGCTACTCCTGCCCCTTTGTCTTGAGATTTAAAAATCACTGTTATATCCTAAAGTTTTCATGTGTTTTCCTCAGTTGGAAAACAGGCATGCAGCTCTGATTTGAGTCACTTTTGATTCCTCTATTGAGAGGAAGATTCCATAATATCATCTTCAGAGTAAACATCTGCAGTCTGGTCATCTGAGCTATGCCGCTTTGTACAAAATCAGGAGCCACTTAAGCACCAGTGTGGGGACTGTCATTTCCTGTCCACTCTTGAGTTGCTCAAACTACTGTTGAATGGCTTTGATAGAACTTTGAAATATAATACGTGGACCCACATTCTTAACTAAAACAGCAATAATGAATGCTGTGGACTACGGCGTTGGGGGATTTTATTTCTAGGAGTCTACCAATAGAGGTGCACTAGTGAGTTTCCCAATCTAGGCCCCCCTATGAAAACATGATCTGCAGAAGTGCCAGTATCCTGCAGGCTGTGGTCAGGCTACAGCTGGAGACTCTGTGAACATATACATCAGCACTCTTAGACTTGACTTTGCCCCTGCATCTTGACAGAGATTCACATGCGAGAGCCCATCTCCGCCTGGAAGCCTGTTGCAGGATGCCCAAGTATGCCTGGCAGGACCCTTCGTACAACCTTGTTGATGGTGACAGCCTTCCAAAGAAAATGGGCAAAGAGCTCTTGGAAAATGGGCAGCCCCCAAAGAAACACAGGTAAAGTTCGCATGGGATTGCTGTTGGAAGGTTCTGTCTGGTCTTAGCTCTCCTCGAGCTGCTACAAGCACATTTCTTAACATCTTTACTTTGGCGACTGTGTGTGTCAGCATGCACATTCTTCTCCTGTGATGCCGATCACAGCATCTGTGACTAGTAGGAAGGGCACGTTCTTTACCCCTCAGCTCCTTCTGTGCAGGCTGACATGATGTTTGGGTATCTGATGGACTCTTTCTACCAACCGGTAGTTCCATCCACCTTTGACTCCTGAGAACTTAGAATAGAATTTGATTGCTTGTATTCATTGGATGAGCGTGTGGGTAACTTACTAAACCCTTAACTAGGATGTTCTTAATACCTTAAGAAGCTAGGAAAATACAATTTTTCCTTTTAAACATTGTTGTTCTGGTTGTCATCCAGTAAAATGTTAGGAATATAACATATATTGTATTTTTCCATAATCTTTAGATATTTGCTTGATGTTATAGTGCCTACTAGCAAATGTGAGTTAACCAATTTCCACAGATTTAGCCATTACCATTAGAGCACGCATACAGTGGAGGCTTAGTAGAGCTTTTAGATTAATATGTCAGTGTATTTCGATGTTGGTGATGTGTCACACATCTGCCTAATGTTATGGTCCTTAAATAAGACCATTTTTTTAAAAAAATATTTGTTTATTTATTGTGTATACAATAGTATGTCTGTATGCTGCAGGCCAGAAGAGGGCACCAAACCCCATTACAGATGGTTGTGAGCCACCATGTGGTTGCTGGGAATTGAATTCAGGACCTTCGGAAGAGCAGGCAATGCTCTTAACCTCTCCAGCCCAAATAAGAGATTTCTTTAAATTAACTTCCTGGCGTTTCCTTATTCTGTTATGATAGTTCTTTGCTGAAATTTTGGAGCCCAGAATCCAGCAGCAAGAAGAAAAAATATTTCAGTTTGCACAGAACACAGTTATTTCTCTGTTCTCATTCTGCATGCCTCTTCTCTGCCTCCTTATTTTGCTTGAATTTCACCTTTTCTTCCTTAGCTATACTGCTTTCCATCTGAGCTTCCTTTCTCTTAGCTGGCAACTTTTTCAAATGTTCTCTTAAATAAATATTTATTTCATTTATAAAATGAATTCAGGATTCTACTTTACATTTTTTTTGAATTGACCCCCCTCTGTGTGTGTGTGTGTGTGTGTGTGCGCGCGCGCGCGTGAGTGTGCCATATGTAAGTGCAAGCTGGTGGAGGCTAAAAGAGGGTGTTGGATCCCTGGAGCTGGGGTTAGAGGTGTCTGTGAGCTAACTGTTGCATGTGGGTGCTGCAGACCAAGCTCAGACCCTTTAAAGCAGCAGCCGGCACGCATCACTGCTGACCCATCTCTCCAGCCACAGGGTTCCACCTTCCACTCCAACTTAAAAGCACATCACCAATGGCCTCACTGGTGTCCTTCGGTTCTATTTATCACTGCAAATTAGCATACAGCCCACAGGCAGCTCTGACCAGCAGGACTTAGCATCTCCAGTGCATACACTTCCTGGGCCGTTTTCAGGTCACTAACAGGCTTTTCTTAACCTTAGCCATTTCCCCAAGCACAGTAAATTGCAGAAGCTGCATCATCAGGAATTTGAATACAGAAATGGGCGAATCATTAGCTTTGCCGCTCCTCAGCTGGTCCTGGGTGTACAGGGCTCCAAACCCCGGTCAGGCACAGAGGTCATTTTGGTGGAGAAGAAATCTGACGATGGGAACCAGCGCTGGACACATAAGGAAGAAAGCAGGTAAACCCGCTGAATTGTGAGGTTTTATACACCAAACTGGATGGAGCAATGGCTCAGTGGTAACAAGCCCTGGTTCTTTTCCCAGAGGACCTGGGTTCAATTCCCAGCCCCTACATGGTGGTATACTGCCATCTGTAACTCCACTCTCAGAAGATCTGATGCCTTCTTCCGGCTTCCACAGACCCTGAGTGCACATGGCGTCTGTGCAAATACTCAATACACATAATATCCATCCAACTGCGAATAAGACCCTCGGAGTTCTGCCTTGCTCTCCACATAGCGAGCAGGAATATAATTGAGGGACTGGGTTTTCTATTTTACTTGGTGAAAATTCTTTATTCTTGTCAAAGAAGAGACAGAGACATAAACAAAAAATTTAGGTAAGCTACCCACAACTTAACAACTGTTAGATTAGATAAGACATCATTTATTTCTTAGTTTTACCTGGCCATTGCCTCAAGACTAGATACTCATCTCATTTCTCTTTGTGACAGGAAGAAATCAGATATGAATTCTAAAGTATTCCTAATTTTTAAGTATTTTGGGACCTTTGCTTATTCAATCCCTCTCCCTGTCTCTCCTCACATGGGCGTCTTCCCAGTTTCACATTCATAAAAAGAACAAGTGATTCCTAGTCATACAGCGAGCATTGACTCCTGCTTTATCAAATGTATTAGCCTAATTCAGTGTCTGACCTTGGCTCTATATTCAAAATGATCAAATGTTTTCTTGAGAAGATCAGAAGAAATCAGACAATTTGGCTACTTGATTATAGTAAGAAAATATTATTAATCGTGTTGTATATCATAATTGGTCAATGGCTGTGTTAAGATAAAAAGAGGGCCCTGGACACTTAAGTTTATATTGTATTTAGAGATAAAAATATGAGATGTTAAATGAGCTTTGTTTTAGGCATTCTAGCAAGGGTTTAGAGAGATGGCTCAGCAGTTATGAGTACTTGCTGCTCTTGCAGAGGACCGGAGCTCAGTTCCCAGCACCCACAGAAGAGTGGGCCCCAAACTGTCTTTATTTCAAACTCTGGAAGAGCCAACATCCTCTTCTGACCTCCGTGGACACTTGAACGTACATGTGCATGCATATAGTAGACATGCATTTATTGTGTAAACACAGAACCAATAATAAATAAATCATAAATTCTAGTAAATAGAAAAGTATCAAAAGCTGAGATATAGATGGAACAAGATAAAATGTTGGCAGTGTTTCGGTTCATGTTTTATCACACATTTCTCTTTGTTATGTGTATGTCTGAACATTAATTTAACAAGAAAATATAACTTCCTAGTTTTTGGACTACTCTACCTAAAATTCCACCACGACCTATCATGGAGCTCTAGTGAACCCCTCAGCCTTTTGCATAATGTACAGGATATATTTTTTTATATTGTGCAACATATTTCTTAATAGGAAGGAGCTGTGACTTTCATTGTATTCTTGGAGCAGACTGCCCATGGTTTGGGCTCTGTGCTTTGAGGGAGACGGAATAAGCTTTGGGAGGCAGCATCAGCAATCCTGGCATGGCAGGAAAGGAGTTAGCTCTACTCTGTTATTTCCAGGGTGAGTACAACAGACAACAAGGTTGTGAGTTAAGGGAGCTGAAGAGTGATCTGATGGATGGAGCTGCTAGGCCTCTTTCTTCACCCCATGCACCAAGGCTATGCTGTCTGTGATGAGGAGCTAGGAGAATAGACTTTTATTCCTGCAAATGGCTAGTTATATGGACCACAATTCACTCATTCATTTGACACTACGTGTTCATTAGAGGGAAAATCTACCACAATGTTACAGCCCTTAACATTTACAAACTCAGATGTGAGGCACCCAGTTTCATAAAAGAAATGCTATTCCATCTAAAATTCCCACTGACCGTGACACAGTGTTGGTGAGTGATTTCAGTTCATCACTCTCACCAGCAGACGGGCCATCCAGACAAAAACTAAATAAAGAAACCCTGGAGTTCGAAATTATCATAAATCAAATGGGCCTAACAGACATCTACAGAGTATTCCACCAAACACTAAAGAAAACAGTTTCTTCTCAGCAACCCGTGGACCTCCTTTAAAACTGACCACATATTAGAATACAAAGCAACTGTAAACAAAGTTAGGAAAACTGAAATACCATCCTGCATCCTGAGCACCACAGATGAAGGCTATGGGTCATTGAAGGCATGGTTTTAGGGGTGGAACTTCAGCAAAGAACTAAAAAGATCAAGATTCTTGTTCCTCTGGAGCTAGACTCCTAGAATACAAAGATGCGTGCACTATATTTAGTGAATCTTTCTGACTTGTTTTTCTGCATTGTGGTAAAATTCCTGTGATTGCCTTTTTTTAAAATTTGAAAATAGACTATTTCATATGACATATTCTTAATATGGTTTTCCCTCCCCCAACTCCTTCCAGATCTTCCCCAACACCTCACCTACCCAACTTCACATCCTTTCTTCCTCTCTCCCTTTAGAAAACAAACAAGATAAAAAAAAAAACAAACTAGAATAGGATAAAACAAACAAACGACCAAGAGAAAATGGGCCAAAGTAAAAGCACACAAAACAATTATAGACACAGACACACACACGTTTACACACAGAGAACCCCCATTTAAAAACCCAGAATTTTTCTTAGATCTGGATGCAGGCATGGCTGAGTGCAGGTGAACATAAGGGGAATGACCATGTGACTCTGACTTGGGCAAGCTTGGAAGTGCTTCTATGGCCACTGTGAGAGAGATGTCTGTAGCTCTGAATCCTGGTTAGCTCGGTCATTGATTCTTCTCAGTGCTGGAGAGAAAGGAGCAGGGAAGGCAGTTAAAAACAGGAAGAGAAATTTGCCTGAAGCTGTTAGCTGATGGGCTACGAGCAGCTCCGAAAGCTCTAGCCGTGGGCAACACCGAAGTCTGTCTCAGTCTTCTGAAACTCTACAGCTTGACCATCTTGAGACTATCCCATGTCAAGACATGGGACAATGAGAGGTAGTTGGTGGGGATAGCTGGCTTTTATAATGCTTTTGTTTTCCCCTATTTTGACAGTACCATTCATTGGTACTTGCCGATAGCAGAGAAGTATTTCCTTTCTATAAGAAGCGTATGCTTATGAAACTTCTACATGAAGTCCCTATATACAAAAGAGCAAGGTGGAAACAATGTGCCCCAATGGTCTCAAGATGAATGCAGTTTCAAGTATTAAGTCATAAGTGGATCTATTCTGGGTAATAAAATGTGGAACGCTAAGGTAGCTGATCTTGACATCTCGGGGTCACTGCAGGAAATCAGCAATCATCTGATCATTTGGATATTATTGAGTGCCAAGACACATGTAAGAAATACACATGTATGAAAACAGCTGAGCCCACAGAGGTGAGGTCTTGTAGGACAAAGCCCTGACAAATGCTGAGGAGGCATTTCAAAAAATTAAATATCCATTTTGGAAATTCAGTGGCACCCCGTTAACTAACTATGGAGGAGAAAACAGATTGTAAGATTAGATGACCATCTTTCACCCTTATGATGGATTTTAAGTTTTCTATTTTCCAGAACGTTGTGATTCTTTACAATGAGGGTGTGTCGTTTTTATTCTCAGAAAATTGAATAAGCTTTCTGAACGTTTTTAAGACTTTAGAAAAAATATATTCTATATTATATATGTATATATATACATACAATATTCTTATTTTCTCTCTGTCCTTTTATTCTCACCATTACATTTTATATTCAAGGTAGGTTACTTATATTTTCAATGACAGAAATGACACCACTGGTCTCTAATGTAACCATGTTCAGAAAAACAGAGATGAAATCCAGGGAAATAATTTTTTGTTTGAATATTCGTTTTAGTTTTTCAAAGTGATATAAGAAAAATGACACGATAATTTTCACTAAGTAATTTTAAATTAATTTCTCAGGATTTGTACTAGCTCCAAGATCTCTTTCAAATTTCAACCGAGGGGCAGAGAAATGGTCCCACGGTTGAGAGCCCTGGTTGCTCTCACAGAGGACGCTGGTTCTGTCCCCAGCACACACAGTGCTTTACAATCATCGATACCTTCACTTTCAGAGGATACAGCACCCTTTGCTGACCTCCATCTGCCCCAGGCATGCAAATGGCATACAGACAAACATGTGGGCAAAATACACATGAAAACAAACAAATACATCTTAAAAAACAGCTTAGCATAGGGGCTAAAGAGAGGACTTAGCAGTTAAGAACCCAGAGGACTGGGGTTTGGTTCCTAGCACAGACATCGGATGGCTTACAGCCCTAGCTCCATGGTGATTAGCTCCCTCTTCTAGACACCACAGGCTTGCACACACACACATGAACATATACAAGTACACACACCAATAAAATCTTTAAAATGCTCAACATATATCTTGGGTTTTCGAAACTCTCCTTTGGAAACATGAGAATTTAATAATAGAAAAATATATATTAATATTTATTTTATTCATTATGTGTGTCTCTGCGTGTAGGAATGAGCACATAAGTGCAGGTGCCAGTGAAGGTCAGAGAAGGCACCCAAGCTCCCACAACTGGAGTTACAGGTGGTCGTGCGTCAGTGTGGGGGCTGGGAACCGAACTTGAGTCCTCGGTAAGAGAAGTACGTGCTCTCGACTGCTGAACCATCAACCCAGCCCCAGGAAAATACTTTAAAAAGCCACAGCAATGCACAATTACAACTAATGATTTCCCTTATGGTATTTACTTTTATATGCATTGACTCACTCAACTCCCACAGGGTGCACATTACTCCAGTGTACAGATGGATACATTGAAACATGGAGTTTGTGAATGTCATACAGTACTAAGAGATGGACCCAGGGTTCCATCACAGGCAGTAAAACTATAAACTCCATTTCCTCATCTTCAATGCTTCTCAGTAATAGCAGCATGGGCGATAAAGATGTATCAGGGTGGGTAGAATCTAGAGACAGAAAGCGTACCATAAGTTACATAGGGTACATAGATTATGAGGAATTATTAAACCATGATAAACACAAACTATTGTTTATACATTCTACATAAATTATTATAGAGATAATATCTATATCAGACTATCATAAATAATATTATATTATTTGTTCTGATAAGCTGGTGAGACCTAAAGAAACCTGGGTTTCTACATAGCAGAAATGTATAGAAATTCCATTACATTAAATATTAAATTAAATTAACCACAATCTGTTACTTAGTGGGACTAATTCTGTCTTCTTAAGGACCTTCCACCTGGTGAGTAACCCTGACCTTGTGCTGGCAGTGTCTATGACCAAGGCTCAGAATGAAGCCCATGGCTATCCAGTTATCATTCAGGTAAGATACACACAGGCCAACAAGAAGCCATGCCCTTTCAGGAAGCTACAGGGATACTCCATGCCCTTTGTTACAGAGCAAAGGGATAGCTGTCATAAAATGTTGTCTTGAATGTCACTGTTAAAATATTCTTTTGTAATACCCTGCGTGGACTTCAAATTGAGTATGTTGAGATACCTCAGTTGGTTTCATTCTGGCCAATGGTGAATATAGGCTTGCTGGTAGTCAAAAGTGGGGACAGTTATTACAGTCACACACTGGCAAGCAGGAGAAACTGTCCCTACAGATTTCCAAAAGCTTGCAACCTCAGGGAGTGATGGCTCCTTGGTGTACCTAAATTTATTGATGGGGAGCACAGGCAAGGCCCCATGGCATAGATACTGGAGGAAAAGACCTTATTCTTCTTTTGGGAGGTCATGAGCCCACAGTGGTAATTCTGCTAAGAAACTCACTTGCAGTACCTCTAACGCAGGCTTCATTTGAGTTTGGGGCAGAGACCCTGAAGCTCTTTTCTGTTGCCCTTCCTTAGAACCAAACACTTACAAATGGACGTGTGATGCTCCCTGATAGGCCAAGGAACAGCTTAGGAGTGTCCCAGCTCTGCATCCGCCTTGCTGCACCCTGGTTCCCATCAAACGGCATAATCATCTCCACATAACATTTGCTTTATTCTGTGTTTTTAATGAGGAAACTTGTTTTGCAGTTTGGAATCCCAAATCAGGACACAGCAATCTGGATAGATTCTGAAGTTCGCTTAATTAAGGTTTCTGTCCTTGTGATAAATAAGAACTAGACATTTGTACTGAAGACACAACACACATAGCGTTTCATGTTTCCTATCAGGTGCCTCTTCAACATGGGCCACAGCTAGGTGAAGGCTCACACGGCTGCACATTCCGTTCCCTACTCATTTTCATAACAGTTGGAGATATGAATGCCACCCCCAATGTGTCTTATTTTATAAGGAATAAACTTAATCATAAGGTAATTTGGACTAACTTCCAAGTTATCTTCCCATTACCAGTGATTCAATTTTTATGTATTAAATAAGATGTACATGAAAAAACATATAAGTTTCTATAAGTAGAAACAAGTCACTTCCGGTTAATGCCACTAGATCTTTTTGTGTTGCTTGAGAATTTAGCCTTTGGTTTTCCAGATCTCGGAGGGACCTCCATTGTCTGACCCACTTAATTAGTGCTAAGAACTTTAATGCTGCTTGTATCTTGGCAGGCGCAGTAGTTATCATAAATTATAAAGTTCCTTGAGGCATCATGATATGCTTTTCTGGTGCTAACCTGCCGGCTTATGTCTATTTACTTCCACTTGAGATAACTCATAGGATGCTATAATTAAATAACAAAATCACATTCTATAGCAATGCAAACAATAGAATTAAAACACATATCTTGTTTCTATTGCATTTTTAGCTGAATTTTAAAAGCTGGGTTTTTAAAAACTCACTTCTTTGAATATCAGTCAAACACATATCGAGATGTCGACAAATTGTGTTTTTCATTTAGTGAGTTGGTGTTTAGGGAGATATTGTGTGTGCATGTTGGGCAAGAACATAAAAACAATAGGTAAATTCACAAACAGTTGGGAAAGCAAAAAGTCAAATAATGTTTCTTAAAAATGCTTTTTTTGGTCAGTATCGTAATCTTTTAAATGATCTAATCAATAATAATTCTAAAAACTTTTCCTAAAATATTTTCATGAATTTACACACACGCACACACATACACATACAGAAACATACACGCGTGCGCACACACACACAGATAAAACACATGCACATTTATTTATTATAAATTCTGCCAATTTATTTATTACAGAGAATGTTTTTAAAAATGTGCTGCAGGTACAATTATTTAGTAATTTCCCTAATTTCCTAAGCATAATTTTTCTAAAAAATAATTAATGTCCTTTTAAAATGTCAGAAAAAAATCACAAAATAGTGTTAAGAATCAAAAATAGTGGAATTACAAAATTTTAATTTGTTTGTTTTTTGGGTTTTGCTTTTGTGAATCAAGTATGTTTAATGTTATGTAGTTTTGTGTATAATTCCTAAATATCGACAGTAACTATCATTTACAGTAAGTTATGAGTAATTGTCTGTATTTCTAGATTTATCCAGTAAAGAACGCCTGCTGCTCCATCTTAAAAACTCGCCTGTCTCTCTGAGTCCATATTTTGTCACTCTCTCATTTTTTAGAAATACAAGCCACACAGCAATGGGGCTGCCAATCAAAAGTGGCATTACGTGGCAAATACGAGAACATTCATAGCCTTTCACAGCACTGCCCTGGATCGGAAAATCACAGCAGCCAATTCCTCCGGCCTTTGTACGTCATCTGTCACTAAAGAAAACATTGATCAACCCGTAAGTACTTCCCTCTTCCCAAAGATGGAAGAAAAATAGGGTCATTTAATAAAGCAGGAGGTTTTTTCCCCCCGTGGGAAAGCTGAAGTTCATAAGGCTGAACACTAATTTGCTTGCTTCAGACAAGGTCTTGCTACAGAGCCCAAGCTGGCTTCTGACTGGCAACCCTCCTCTCTCAGCCTCCAAGGGTGGGATTGCAGGTGTGCATCGCCATGCCTGGCATGAATACTGATTTTTGATGAGATCACTTAGACTCTGGGATTTTTAATAGGAAAGAATGAAAGAGAATTATGAAAGTAGAATAAATTACACCCTCTATCTAAAACTACTTGTTTTACTGTGGAAAATTTCATACATATTCTAAAGCAGACAGTAGTACAGTGATTCTTGATTTACGCATCACATTCATTAAGATTTGCACACTTTTGCTAATCCCAGATATATTATTTTACGTCTATATTAAGCATGCAGTTTAATAATTTTGATCATTTTTGACATAAATCATCATGCCATTGTCAGAATTACTAAAATAAACAGTGACATTTGGGCAGTATAAAAATCTATTTTTTACCAAATTTTCTAGGTTGTCCTAAAAATTCATTTTTGTCGTTGGTAGTTTGAGTCAAGTCTGAGAAAAGGCCCTCAGGTGGGATCATGTTCACAGCATGATCCATAGGCAGGCAACATGCTCTGCCTTGGGATTTGCTGTCTTGTGATGCCATTTGGCTTGGTTCTGTTTCTCCACGATCCCTGTAAATAGGATGCACACTAAAGTTGTCGTTAAACCTATGCTTACCATTTCTGCAGAGCCTTCACAGATTCCCATGTGTGTATCAGATACTCAGGTCTCTGAAGCCTATACCTAACTTCTGTTTTTAATGATGGTTTGAAGGAATTTCTTCTCATTCCCATGTCTGGAAATTCCTCAATGTCTAGTCATCTAGTGTTATCATTTTGCTTCAAATCAGTCAATTTTATTTCCACATCAATTAGCTAAAAATTTAACAAGAATGTTACCTCATTATAATATTTCAGTAGTCATAAATACAGTTTGAAAGGAAAGGCAGGTAAATGAGTGATTCTTTCTTGCACATCCACTTAATAGTACATTAATTGAAAAAAATGTATATTCCTTGTGAGGTGACAATTTGGGTTGAGCTCTGCCGGGTAACTCTGCTGGTCTTGACAAGGGCTGCAAAAGTGGCTGTCATCATCTTGTGGATTTTTAGTGTATGAGGATTGGATAGTCCAAGATGGAGTCTCCCACATGCATTGACTCTCCAACCGTTCCACTTCCAAGAAGCTTGGTCCAGTGAGTTCCGTGTAACCTCAGGGCTCCAACTGTAGCTATAGACCCAGGCGCTACTGTGCAAGCTGCTTTCAGGCACCTGCTTGCCTCTTACATCGGCAGTCATTAGGCCAATGTCAAGGACATAGCTTGCTCACAGACACAGAGGAGCGAAGGAGAAAAGCACCGTACCAGGAGCGGTAATGTCGGTAATGTCACCAGTCGGAAGGACATGTAAACAGCATTGGAATGGTTTTACTGTAGCCACCTTTAGAAATTATTTTCTACACTAACAACCACGTTTTCAAGTCAATGCCTACCAACCACGATTATTTTTGCATGATGTCAAGTGAGGTCCCATTCCCCCTTCGTTCTTTACTTGTATTAATAGCCTTGTTATGAACTCCTGGGAGCTTATATACTCAAATCTGATAGGGGAGTTCAGCCAATCATATTCTGTTTTCGGGGCGTGCCGCCCTCAGGCAAAAGCCTGCCTATAAACCTTGCAAACGCGCTCTGCTAGCTCTCTTTTCGCCTGGCTCCTGTGTCCGGACGGATGGGTTGAATTCTGGTGTAAGCTGTTGTAAGTCTTACTTCTGTTTATTAAAGGTATATATTTTGTATCAAGATAGTCTGGGGAAATTTCTTTACCAATCACCCTGCAGCTTCACAAATCCAGTGAAACTTTTTGAATTCTCATTCTTTCTAGTCTCAAATTGCCCTTCTTTGAGTCAGTTGGGACATTTTTATTTTTGCCCTTGCATTTTTTAATTTTATTCCTTAACTCCAGGATTGATTAGTTTCTGTGCACAACAAGATGTCCCTTATATACAAGATGTTATATTGTAGTTTTTCTGTTCCCGAAGAGGCACTGGACATTCTTCAAAGAGATCTTGATTTGGTATAAAAGTTAGGGTTCCCAGTATTGAATAGTCATCGCAGAGTTAAGGAATAATTTTAAATTTTTTAATTACTCGGGCTGGTAAGCTAGCTCAGCAGATAAAGCATTTGCTTAGAAACCTGAAGATCCAAATTCAGTCCGTGCAACCCACATGATGGAAAGAGAGAACCAATTCCTGCAAGGTGTCCTCTGACCTCCACCCATATGTGCCCTGCTCCCAGCATACACACACCAAATAAATAAATACTTTTAAAAAACTTAATTATTAAGAAGCATAATAATGCATTTGGGTTGTGGTTTAAAATTTAGCATTTGATGATGCCAAATGTGTTTTCCTCATGCTGTGAAGAATTCTGCAAAAATGCCCGTATGGTTTAGGAGCCCCACATGGAAGCATCTTTTCCGATGTTTTAGGGATACTGTTACCTCTCACCCAATGGAAAGAAAAAAATGATGCTCTGCCAGGCCTGCGGACAGTCCATGCGAGCAGAGAAGGGGTTGAAACAGCTGCTTCCGGGCGCTCCATTCTTCTGTGTTTCTGGCTCAGAGCAGAAGTCCTTGCCACGAAGGCCATTCAAGGTCATCAACATTGCCAAGGTACTTCCCCACTTAGCCAGCTGAGCTCTGCTACTGCCCACGCTATAACTATTTGGAAATTTGGGTGCATTTAGCTTGGCCTCACATCTAGGTTCACCTCCACGCGTCCACTTCATCTTCCTCAGAGGCACCTTCCCATCCTGCCAACATTGATTCCTTTATTTTAATTGCAATTTAAATTGCATTGTCTTCTAATAGTTCTGTCCAGCCTTTGGAGTGAATCGGGTACTTTTGCTGCTGCAGGCTGCACACACCGTTCCTTTCTCTTTGTGTAGCTTTTAGGTCGGGAGGTGACTTTGAGTCTTTGCTTGGCACAGCAGCATTTGCCCTATGTCGATAGGGGAAGCTCTTTTTTTATGAGCATGGTGCATTTCAGGGAGGATTTGACACATTGCTGTTAGTAGCAGTTCAGGTTAGGTGGCAGAATTCATGCATCCATGCCTAATACCATTTAGAAGCCCTAGGGGTGACGGTGAGGGAATAACTCTGCCACATTCTGTGACCTTAATTTAAAATGACACCATTTTAGAAAGGAAAAATCCTCCCTTCAACTTGAGCAGTGTTGTTGAAGGAGGCTGCTTATTGGTTCCCAGCCGCCTGGCTAGCTTAGACCTGAAATAATCACACAGAAACTGTATTAATTAAATTACTGCTTGGCCCATTAGCTCTAGCTTCTTATTGGCTAACTCTTACATATTATTTTAACCCATTTCTATTAATCTATGCATCACCACGTGACTGTGGCTTACCAGCTAAAGTTTCCAGCTTGACTCTGGTGGTGACTCCATGGCTTCTCTCTGACTCTGCCCTTTTTTCTCCTAGCATTTGGTCTAGCTTTCCCTGCCTACCTAAGTTCTGACTTGCTATAGGTCCAAAACAGTTTCTTTGTTCATTAATGGTAATCACAGCACATAGGGGTGATTCCCACATCACCTCCCCTTTTCTGTTTAAATAAAAAGGAAGATTTTTAACTTTAATATAGTAAAGTTACATATAACAAGCAAGTATCAAACAAGAATTACTGTTACAATATTTATATCTACTTTATCTTTTATCATAACTAAGGAAAACTATAAGTATAAATTCTTCAACTCCACCAAAGACTCCAGAAGGATATAACATTACCTAAGTGAACAGGAAGTGCATTGTAAGCAATTTCTGAAACTCTAGAATTGATAGAGACATCTTGCTACCTGGACAGTCACCCAAAAAGTTCTTCTGTATTGTTGGTGCATCCATCTTCAGCCTACAGGCCCATAGTATCCATCAGACTTTTTCAGGAAGCAGGAAATTTCAAAGGCAGTTCTGCCTATATTGGCAGTTTGTCAGTCACTTTTTGCTGTTTCCTGCAGAATGTCTAGCAAACTCTTTCATGAAGCAGGAACCCTGAAGAATATTCTCACCTTTAGGCAAGTTCAGCAGTCATTTCTATGTAGGTCCTGCATGTCCAGTTAAGAAGTCTAGGCAAAAGCAGTTTCTTGCCCAAATGGCTAACCAACTCCATAAGGAGGCTCTTCAATGTCCATCTTTCTCTTGAAGTAATTTGGTGCTTTCAGGAGCACATGTGTGTCACTGTCATGAAAAGTCTTAAATTCTTGAAACACTTTAAATGCCATATTCTGTAGTCTTTAAAAGATTTGAAGAATCCCTGGATAGAAGAATCTGAAATACTCTGTACATCTAGAAAATCTAACTAGCATGACTACAAGCTTGACTATTATAAATGATTCTCTATTTACCTGTATTTCTTTATACATTACATTTTTAAATGAGATACCCACCCAATCACAATACCTTAACCAGGAGCAGAAATATATATATAAACAAAATAGACCTTAAATTTATATCAATAAACCAATGCAAATCTCTATAGCATATCCCCCTTTAAATGTAAAAGAAACATTTATAGATAAGATTTGGGAATATGGGTGTAGTTTTCTCCATACTGCTTTCTGCTGATTGTTGGATGTAGCAATTTTTGGGAGTGTTCATGGAGACCTTTGGGGGATTCTGTTCCATCAAACCACACCAGTCTCCATAGGTTCTCATCCTCTGTGGAAACAAGAGAAGAACCTCTTTTTCAAAGCAACATATATTTAGATCCAAATTTGGAAGTCATGATACCTTTATAATACATGCTGGTTTAGCTTAACAGCCCATTTAATGAAATGTCTCTCTGCACTTAGCTCATTCATAGTCAAAAAATTCAAAGATAACACAATAATATACATAATCCAGACTCTCTGTGAATTTCATCTTTACACGGCTTGTTTTTACTCTATTCCTTTTTAATATTTATTTTATTATCTTTACTACTTTAATCTATGACTGTCTGTACTCTGTCCTTTAAAGACTTTATCCTTTTGTTAAAAACCATTTACTTCTTTTTCAACTATCTATACTGTTTGTCTACTCTCCTCTAAGCCTATGCCCATTTATCTAACATTGTCAGTCTGAATCTGTTTTACTGTGTATCTGTAATTCTTTATTGTTAAGGAGCACTTTTTAAAATTTTAGCTGCTTGTCAATAGCTCAGGGTTATTACTAATTTAGCTCTTACAGCTTAAACTAAACCATTTCTATTAATCTATGGTCTGTTACATGGAGTTACCTTTCTTTTATCTTTATTTTTATTTCTATTGAGCTCTACATTTTTCTCAGCTTCCCTTCCTACCTCTCCCTTCCCCCTCAACCCTCTCCCAAAGTCCCCATGCTTAAGGAGCACTTCTTAAAATGCTAAGTGCTTTTAAAACTTTAAGCTGTACCATTACAAGGGTTTATATGTTACTATCTGCTTGCCCCACCTGAGTAGTCATGCACAATGCCCCATCTCTAGGTACATAGCTGGTCCATGTTGTCACCAAGCAAGCTGTAGCATGTTGCTCACAAACCCAATTCAAATGTTCAGTTTCCCAAAAGAGTCAGAGTTCATGCTAGCAGCATGGCCCACAGCCAGGAAACTGCTGTTTTGAAAGTGCAAGTGGCTACTACCACTGAATCAGTAAGATCTCTCTTTTTTAAAAAAGAGAAGCCATGCTTCTGCTTGCTTCTAGCAAACAGAGCCCACCCAAGAAAATGCTGCTACCAAACCTGCTGCCTAAGTTCTGCCTTGCTATAGGTCCAAAGCAGTTTCTTTATTCATTAATGGTAATCATAGCACACAGAGGGGACTCCTACATCACAGTGTAAAAGAAATGGGGATGGGGTTAGGGAGGGGTGGATTTAAACAACAGAATAAAAAGGAGGTAATCCTAAAATGTGGCAGCCTGCCAGGCTGGTGTGCCCCTCAGGTGTCACCTGCCTGACTCCAGTCCTCACTCCTCTATCTCCCAAACCCAGTTTTATACTAAAGGTGGACAGTGACAGGTTGCAGTGAATTCACCCTAAGTAGTAACCTGGAAGGAGAAAGGAAGCAGTCATCAGGAAGCCTGAGGGTATTTGGTTTTGCAGAGGTAACTGGGAAGAACTCCTCTATGCCACAGTAGCTCAGCCAGTGCCTGTGCATCTGGGCAGGCTCCTAGTCAGGATGCTGGGGAAAGCTTTCTAAGGGATGTCCTACCCTCCTCTTTCGTCTTCCACCAATGGATGGCCTCCTTCTAGAGTTGTTCATTAAGAAAGTATCTGTAGTGTTCATATCCCCATACTTCCATCCCAGGGTCTCTTTGGTCCTGGCTTCCTTTCTTCTGCAACCCAAACAAACATACAGCAACATTTAAAGAAAACAAAAGAAAGTCAGAAAGACAGACCAACTTCTCAAAAGCCAGTGAGAGGACTAGAAAGAGAACTGAGGAATTTTGGCCCAATTCTCTTCCTCCTCCACACCAGGTATCAAGAGTACATAAAGAAGACACTATAAAAATATAGGTCCACCCGCATACATACATATGCAGACTTTAAAAGGGAAGTAGAGATATGCCAAGATAACGAAGCAGAAACAATGCAATTTGTGTAAATGATTATTTTTTTAAACAAACAAGGCTGATTTATCTTCTTATGAAGCTGAAAACACTCTGAGATATTACGAAGAGCGTCTGTCATCTTTATGGATGAAGGCACGCACATGCACTACATCCCAGAGTGGCGTGGTAGCTTCCTACCAAAAGGCAGTGAAAGTAATTGCATACAAAAATGGGGATGGATATCGGAACGGGAAGTTGATTATGGCTGGAACATTCCATGGGGTAAGTGGCTATGAATAAAATGCTATATGTGTCCTTAGAGGTAATGGTGGTGGCAGTTCTGGACAAGAAGTACCTCAAAGCTGAGCAGCAAGTAGCCCTTGGTTTTCAAGGGACCTAGTAGAAAGGTGTAAAGGAGGATGGAAAATGGAACCACCAGGCTATCTTCACCCTCACGGTGAACAGAATGTCTTTTTCCTCCTTGTTCCCTTGCACTGCAAGTTTAATGCCACCTGAATGGTTTTTGTTTGGTTGGTTTGGTTTGTTTTTTAGTAGCCCTCATTTTGGACATTAAATTTGTCTCTCATTCAGAGCATCTGAGCACGTGTTTGTTGATAAGATCTTTCGCTTCACTTTTAAATGGGGGGTGCTTAAATTGTTAGAGATTATGTGACTGCCTTAGAGACTGTGTAGTCATGACAGGAGAGCCCCCAAAGTGATGATTCTGTCTCAACAACCCTCCTAATACTTTTAATAACCTATTTTATAGGCTTATACAGTGTGATTTTTTTCTGCCAACTTCTTCCACCCCCTTCCTGTCACTCACCTCTGGGGTTAGAAACAATTGGCTTTTCTTATTAAGATCTTGTTGTTCAGATCTGGAGAGATGGTTCAACGTTTGTGAGTGTCTACTACTCTTAGAGAGAACATCAGTTTGGGTAGCCCACACAGTCTGTATGTATCTCCAGTTCACTAGGATCTGATACACTTCTGGCTTCCTGGGGCATCTGAAGTCATGGGCACACAGAGACATACAGTCACAGACATAATTAAAAACAAAAGTAGATTTTTTCAAAACAAAACTATTGCTCAATGAACAAAGCAAAGTACAAAAGTTAACCCCAAGATTTACCCAAGGCTACAAGACTGGCCTCCTGTCTTTCCCTTTCCACTGGAGGGAGATGATACCCTCCTTCCAGTCATGGATCCCAGAGATTGAACTCAGGCCTTCTGGTCCGTGGCAGGCACCCTAAGTCTGAAATATCTTGTTGGCCGACAAGGCCAGCTTTTAGATTTGTTTTCCCATCTGTAAAATGGAGGGCATAATGTGTGAGAGTTTGGGTTAGAAAGTTAACTATTTGTTTATTAAAAACTGTTCACCAGTTTGCAGTATTACAACTTTATATCTTATAATATGACAAAATGGAAGGAGATTTCTATGCTACACACTTTAAGCAAGAGTGTCTCATGGAAAAATGTATCACCGTATATAAGCTGCTGGGCTTCAGCTCCAGAGCAGGGAATGTTCAAAGCCAGGTGTAGCTCATATTAACTTAGAGAAAACAGATGTAAAACTTGCCTGTACTCAAAAATCAACATCACCAGTTATTCAGGGTCTGTTTTCTGAAAACAAGGGCTTTGCAGATTTCTACAGTGACTGACAACTGGTTATAATTTCAATGCCATCATTATTTCCTGTTAGTGTTTCTTAAAAATTGTTTTTATTTTTCTGTGTTCTGCCTGCATGCAAGGGCACTCCATGCATGTCTGGGACCCTCAGAGGTCACACAAGGGCCCTGAAATTGCAGTCATCTGCAGATGGAAGCCATCATGCGGGTACTGGGAGCAGAACCTGGGTTCTCTCAAAAGCAGTAGGTGCTTGTAACTGCCCAGCCAGCTCTCACGTGCCTCCGATCCATTACTTACAACTCATGCTTTGCAGCTTCTTGCAGAGTGCACGGAACGGCTTGGACTCTCTAGAGCAGCCTCTAAAGTCTACACCAGAGATGGAACCAACATACTCACTTTGCGCGGCTTGGTTCTGTGGGCCATAGGTGAGACCCTCACCCAGAGACACCCTGAGGCACAAAAGAGAAGCACAGATTCTCTTGAGACAGAAGAGACAGCTGTTCAAAATACAGAAGGTTGGTTAGCTTCTATGGGCATTAGTTGGTGATGTTTATGCTCCGTTATCAAAAAGTTAAATATGATTCATTCAATCACCACAGCAAGGATTTCAAAATTATACCAGTGACTTTTGTAAGTGGTTCGGAGAAAGTGAGATTTTCGTAGTGTCCTTATCTTTCTTAATAAGAAAGTAAATAAATAAATAATATATTCTAGTTTTAGAACTGAACCAATATATCAATTCATAAAATTGACAACAGTAGGAAATTTAACTACTTTGTAAAGCACTAACATTGTTTTGTTCTAAATCTCAGACCCCAAATCACCTGGGAGTAGTGAGGAAGTTGTTGCTAGACCAGCGCCGCTCTCTTCCCACTGTTGATGGGAAGGTCTCTGTCTTCTACTTTTCCCGCCCTGTTTTCCCTCCCTGACCTTGCTGCTCCCCCTGCTCTGGGAAGCCCTAGAAGCTCTGGTGGATGCTCCTTTCTTGCCAGGTGTGGCACAACAGTGTGCTCTCAGTGTGAGATTTTCTGCTTTGATCCTGAGAGTCATGGTTTAGAGCTTATAAACTTTGGTCTGGGAGTCAGAATAGCAGGTTTCAAATCCCAGGTTTGCCAGATACAGCTGAATGGCATAGGTCAAGGTCTTGAACCCATCTCGACCTCAGTCCTCGCATCTGTACCTAGATTTGCCAATAATCACTCTCCTTACAGACTTTTCATGAGAAGCAAAGAAATTAAATGCTGATTAAAAGAAGAAAAACTTATCTTAAAGGGATTAAGAGATAGTTTATTCTGGAGTTATTTTGAGTAGTCAAAGCTAGGGAACATAGCCTTATGTTCCTCCAAATTTTATGTTTCAACATGGAAGCCATTTTATGGTTTTACAGGACAAAGAAAGTCATATATCAAGGCAAGTTTAAAATACATTGATGGGTACATCAGCGATGCAGTAAGCTTTTTTATAAGTCCAAGATGCTCTCTGGCGACATTCTTAGCTTTTGGATTGGTGCAAGCTAGTGGCCTTGGCCTGTTAATAGGTTTTAAAATGTTTTTACTGCTGTCCACACAATGTTAGTTCAGACACGGGTGGGTGAGGAATGGCCGTTCTGGAGGGCTGGAACCAGCCCGAGATAAGATGATTACCCTCTGGACCTGCAGCTCTCCAATCCCTGCCCAGTACTGACGTTCTAATTAGTCAGTCTGTCTCTGTAGACCTGGTTTCTATTCAGGAGCTTTTGTTCACAACAGAATGTATCTGCTTGTGATTTTTGTTTTCTCCCTTTTTGTTCTATTATAATAAAACACTACAGTGTGAGAAACATTTTGTTTCATCAGAGATGGCTGACCTACCAATAGTCTATAAATTTCCCCCATCTTGTGAAAACGTAGTACGTTCCTGTTTGCCCACTGCTGGATATCAGACATTTCTGAGACTTGACCACACCCTTGCTTTCTTCACCAGCAGTGAATTAACCAGGCTGTGGGGTTTGGCCTAGCTTCCACCAATGGGACAAGACACAGTCACCACCTGAGTCAGAATAAGAACTAAGTGAACCTCCAACCCCAATGTACTCACGCACTCAATTCAGATCATCTTGAACCCAGTTGCCGAAGTAAAGAACCTACAGACTAGCCTGTGTTTCTTTGTGCAGCTCTGGGAATATTCTTTTCTAGTGGATGAGGCAATTATAAAACCAAAATATGTTTTTCACAGAGACCAGGAAGTTCAAATCTAGGCACTGGCAGGGTTGATTCACTGGGAAGATCAAGAGCTGTATCTCCCACAAGGCAGAGGTGCTGGTTGTCACCTGGCAGAAAGTTGATAGACAGGAGAGACAAAGTCTGTGCGAAGCTCCTTTAGAAAGGGCTTGGTCCCAGCCACAAGAAAAGGAGCTCTCCCAATGTCATGGTATTATTTAAATCCCCATCTCAGGGCTGGGGAAACAGCTCAGTGGGTCAAATACTGGCTGTGCAGGCGTGAAGACCTGGGTTCAGGTCCCCAGCACCCAAGGTAGTACACATCCATAACCCTAGGCTTGAAAGATGCGGACAGGTAAATTCTGGGGCCTTATACGGCCAATCTCACTGAAAGAGCAATCACCAAGGTCCGTGAGAGAGCCTGTTTCAAAATTAGGATGGATAATGATAGAGGGTGATATTCCCAAACCAGCCTCATGCTGACACATGTACCTACACAGGCAATCATGCCCAAACATATGCACACACCATATAAATGAATAAATAAGTCAGTGAAAGAATCCTACCCTCTAAGAACATCATGTCGACCATTAATTTTCTGTACTTTAATTTATGAATGAACACATTCAAAGCACAAATGGGTAAATATGCAATATATGCATGTTTGTATGCATATTTACTTGAATAAATATTTAATATTTTTTCATATAATTCATATTTGGTCCTTGTGAATATAAACATATTTTAGACCAGTGCTTGGCTGGTATCTCTGAAACAGTCACGACTTTTATTTATTGTAATTGTGTATATTATGTTGTTTGATTTTCCCATGAGTTTTAAGAAACAATGGTTTGAACAACTTGTGCCTGGATGGTTTTCAAAGCACATGGCTCTCCCTCTACTTAGTGTTATAAAGGTAATCATCCCAAACGCAGTCTTTCGAATTCTTTTTAAACGTCTCCTTGAGGAACAGAGTGAAGTCATTGCTCATGACCGCCAGGAGGATGGCGCTCAGCAGGACGACCAGAGCTTATCTATTTACGGCATCCTTTCTTCTCCCATATTCTAAAACACATCCTGGGGCAGGGCAGCACCATCCGCGGTCTGCTCCTGGATGGAGTTGAGTTTCGGTATTATGCCATTAATTTCCACAGAAGAACTTTAAAGAAATAGCTGAAGTTGTTCGACACGGTGCTTACAGGGCAGGAAGCAGGAAGAACACATCTGCTAAAATCACCCCGTTCTGCTGCGGTCCCGCAACGCCACTAAACTTCACGCGTTTCAGTTACTTCTTATAGATTTATTTCATTTTAAAGTATTTGGGAGGATGTTCGATTTTTCGGTGGTCTGTGACATTTCTGACTAAATGCATGAATTGGCTCCAGTTTTCATAATAACTATGAAAGTCATCAAAAAAGAAGAAAGTCATCAATGAAGAAGAAAATAGTTTGAGCAAATGAATTCATAAAGGATATTCATTCCTTATTAACTGACAAGAGTAAACATGTTGCTTCTTTCCCAGAACACTCAAGAATGAGAATGGGAAACGGATTGGATTGTTTGGAGGGCATAGATAAATCTTTGCTTGCTCAGATCCTCAAAAGTCCTATTGCAATTTGGGTGTCTTGTGGTGAGCCATTCCTGCCTCTAAATGGTAAGGCATTTCTGTTTTGCTGCCTTTTAGACAGCATGTATAAAAAGGGGGAAATAAGTTTTATGTCATGAAGAAGTGAATTAAGTATGTATAATGTCACCATAAGGATATTGTATTTATGCAGAGAGCCAATCAGTCAATTAATACTCGTGCACAGACAGCTATATACACATATTTACACAATTGCTTGTTTTTCTCTTACTGGAATGGATTATTCTGCACAGAGAAATGTCTAATTTAGTTGATAAAGAGATACTTGGTCTATAAGGCGGAGAATAATGGTATCCATTAGAAAGTAACAAATGAGTTTAATTCACACTGAGGACGACCTGTCTGCACATTTTCATTTTTAGGAATTGTACCCTTTAGGCAGTAGGTGGATGTTTAAAAAAAATGAATGGTCCCAAGCCAGGCTTTCATCACTACCAAACAGTTGGTAGAAGCAGAAAATGAAATATGGCTATTGCATATGGTAAATCTATACAATAAAGCAGTTTTGATTGCCTTCCTAGCCCGCCTCTGTTCCATACAGAAATGCCCTAAGCTTTCTCATCTTCCAAACGAAGCTTCTTTTAACAGCCCTTACCTCTTTTAATTACATCTTTCTAACTCAATCTGTCTCTTGAAGCTGAAAGCGCTTTGTAAGTTATTGGTACCTATGATAAGTTATTCTTGACAAAAGAGCACTATGCAAAACATTATTTCTTTACTGTAGTTTCACCGAACTCAGAAAAATTAAAGAAACAAAATTGGATAAAGAAGGACCAAATTTTGACTGATTTAGACACCATGAGACACAAGATGCGGCAGTTGAAAGGTCAGTGTGGATAAGGTTAGTCATTGTGTTTAATTCCAAATGGAACAACTGCTTGATACCAAATAGTTAGCCAATACGTGTTACAGAAACATTATGCTGTGTAAATTAGAACAAGGTGTAAAATCTATTAGCATTGCCATTAGGTACTGGTTTTATATCTGTAAATTTTATATTAAAAGGAATACCCCATGACTTGCATTTGCACTGAGAAAAGTAAGGGTTGTCTGTCCTTGCGTTTGAAATGCTCCCTTAACTGACACTATAGAAACTTTAGGAATAAATAAAACAAGACCTACATATTTAAGCAGTTATTCGTTGGTATTTTAGTACTGGAGATAATGTTTATTTATGGGACATTTTTCATTTTAGCAATTAGAACAGAGCAGTACTGAAATCCTCAAGGTCATGTACAGTGAGCCAAGGACCCTCTTAATACAGCATGAGATATGCTTTTCACAGTCAAAGCTAACAGTGGCCAGTGTGTGTCCTCCTCCATCGTTCTCCCTGCAGAATCTCAGGTTCCTGACTTCATACTTTTTCGAGCACTTGGGATGCAGGTGATTGTTCGGAGAGAATCAGTGTCCTGTGGGCTTGAGTCTAGGAAGGAATGCATTTCAATCTTTGTAATCACAGAATTTCAGCTCCTGATTATAAACATTGGCTTGTGTCTTAAGCCCTTGAGTCTTGCTTCAACAACAGCACATATAGTTCTCAATGTAAAAGCAGCCCTGGCTTTGGGATAGCCAATGTAAAAAAACTTTTTGTGACTACTCCAAATGTCTGCTATCCCTGCTACTAGACATTGTGGACTGAGTATTCGGGGACAAGTTCAGACTCGAGCTGTTATGTCACCTAAGCACCAATGACTCTCTAGTCTCCGCTACCAGAAGCTCTGCCACCGTCCATCCAGACATTCTCTACCAGGAACCTGCAAGTCATCCTTGTTGTCACCCCCTTGCCACTTGTGCCCAAGTGAGTCTTTAGAAAATCTTGTGCCCTGAGTTGCATTGAGCTCTAAAGAATTTCAACCCCTTTAAGTCTATGAGCTGGTTGGTTTCTGTCGACTTGACAAAAAGTAGTCACCCACGAAGAAGGAACCTAACTGAGGAACTGGCTCCATCAGCTGGGCCTAAGGGATGTCTGTGGGGCACTTTCTTGATTAGTGACTGGTGTCCAAGGGCCTGGCCCACCGAGGCTATGCCACCGCTGGCTAGGTGTTGCTAAATTTTATAATAAAGCAAGCTGAGCAAGCCACAGGGAGCAAGCCAGCAAGCAGCATTTCTTCATGGTTAATGCTTCAGCCTTCTGCCTTGAGTTCCTGCCTTGTTTTCCTTCTGGAAGACTATAAACTGCAAGCCAGATCAACTCCCCAGGTTGCTTCTGGTCAGTGTTTTATCATAGCTACAGAGAAGCTAACTGGAGGAGTCTTCTCCGCCTTTATCAAATTCAAACAGAGCGTCTATGACAGGGTTAGTGGAACAGTTTCTATCTAACTAACTGGTCTTCCAGCTTCAAGTCTCGGCAGCATCCATCTGATGGCTCCCAGCTTCTCTCATGTTGTTGTTTTCCAGAAATTGGGTCCCTTTCCCCACTCACAGTTGGGAACTAAGAATAATACTGAGCACCAACTCATAACTGAAGAAGGCTTTCCTTCTTGACCAAGACCCTGAGAAATGGGAGATAAACCTCAAGTAAAGTCTTAAAGTTGGGAAATGACTGATGGAGTAAGATAGATGGAGGGGGGTGTGAGGAAGGAGAAGAACCACGAGTGAGAAACAGTCCTGTCTTTCCTGGGAATGAGCAGAGATTTTCGTGGAACTCAGGCATCATTTCCTTTCCCTCCTATGATTCCTTCAGGTTGTTACCATAGCAACTACCAACTGTACTGGCACAAGAAGGTTGTCTTTTAGCATGCAGATGGGATTATAATAAAGACAGAGATGGATGGGAGGGATCACTCTGGCAGCCATCAGTTTCAGTAAGCCCCTATAACAAAGATGTTGCAGCCTAAGGCTATACATACCAACCTCAAAGAGAACCAAGATTACAGGGGCTCAGCAGTTAGGCCACCAACTCAGTACTCAGGCACTATGAGCAAGGGTGAGTCTCTAGAGTTGAAATGATTGTGTGAAAACACAAAGATGTTAAGGTAGCCCAGATATAAGGGCCGCTGAGGCTCCCTAGCACCCTTAGAAACAAGTCTGGGCCGCGTTCATACGGGCCTCCATGATCCCACTGTCTATAAGGTCTCCTGTTTCCTTGCTCACTCCACCCAGGAGTTTTCTAGATTTATCATATACTTTCAAAATTTGGGGATCTTGAGAAAATTTAATTCCCTCTACTTCAAGTTTTTCCCCTCTGACCCTCTTAGATTCTCCCTCGTTGTTATTTTTACTTTTTTTCCAGGGGTACCCCAAACAATGCATTCTAATCCTGGGGTAAAGCAATTTGTCACATCTTGAACCCCCATGGCCCTCAAGATATTATGGTAATTCTTTGTTCCTGGGACTATCCTCCTCAGATGAGAAATGTTCTACTCGTCTAGTGTGTCTCTGACTAGTCGTAGCATGATTGAAAAAGAAATGAATGGAATTTCAATTCATTCACTGCAGGGAATCTTCCAAGCTTCATTTCTTTACTGACTTAAATTGGTAGAAAGCAACATTACTGAAAACAGCATCTGAAAAATTGCCTTTGCTGAATTCTGGGTTTACCATTATGCTTTCAACTTTAACTGTAATTTGCAAAAAGACATTTAAATGTAGTTTGGCATCATCCACAGCACCAACACTTAAACAGTTGATGTATGTTTGTTAGTGGATGTCCATTATGGAGTTATCCACAGATGTACTTTCTCCTCAGATTCAATGCTAATTTTTGTCTCCCCCTAAAAACTGGCATGTATTCTGCTGTTACGCATAATTATATGTATTTCTCTCATGAAAAGCCTATACTAGCTACAAGGATTATCAGGATAAATGGTAATCAAGTCTTAGCTGAAGCACAATTCATAAAAACTCAGAGACAGATATAAAGGTTCAAACTGAAGACCAAAAAAGCAAAGTAGCCTGGTACTGGCTCTTACCTTGACCTCAGTCCGAAAATGGTGATCCTGCCTCCAGGAAACCTCAGGATGAGACTGAGAGCTGTCTCCGCCTGTTTTATAATCCTCTCTAGTTCTGGGATTAAGGACGTGCACCACTACTGCCCGGTATCTATGGCAAGATAGTGTGGCTACTGGGATTAAAGATGTGAGTCATTTTGGCTACTGGGATTAAAGGTATCACTAGTACCTGGTCTGTAAGGCTGGCCAGTGTGGCTTTTTCTTTTACTTTTCTGATTTTCAGGCAAGTTTTATTTATTGAAATGCAAATGAAATGCTACTACATTTAGCTCAGGTAACAGCAGTACCTATTAATTGTTCTCTCCCCCCACACCCTTCTCTCTCTCTCTCTCTCTCTCTCTCTCACACACACACACACACACACACACACACACACACACACACACACAGAGACAGAGGAGGGAGGGAAGGAAGGAGAGAAGGAGGGAAGGAGAAGAGTCTCTAAGTCATGATCTCTTGGTCTCAGAATCCTAAATTCTGGGATTGTAGGCATTGACCACTGCTTAATTTTATACATCTTGAGGGTTGCCTAGAACAGGAGGTATAAATGTTTGTTGGTCATTGCAGCAAATACTGTGTACAAAAAACTATACTAAGCTGATTGGTTTTTATTTGTAAGTATGATCAGTACTATTAATAATAGTAATTATTTTGTAACAATTTTGTGATTGTGTAGCTTTTGTCAAATAGTTATTACATGATTAACACAAAGTAGAAAATAAATAATGATACCTACGTTTCTGAGAAGAAAATATATTTCCTAACGTGGCTTTTTAAATTAATTAATCTAAGTATTACAAATCAGAGCAAGTATCGCCCTTGCTGCATATGAACCAGGTGGCTCTGATAGCCAAAATCCTTTCCCAGACACAGATATTGAAAAGGGTGGGTGCCCCAATAAGGGGTGGAGAATTGATGAGCAGAGCCATGTGAAACAGCAGCAAAGCACTCACACTCTAGCTTCTAAGAGAAAACCGAAAATGGGAGAGGAACCCTCTGCTTGTTTTTCCCAACTTCCAGTGGGACAAGCCATCTGCTGTCAGTAGAGCTCCACCTCCTTCAGATGGAACGGTAGGAGGAGGAAAGAGGCATGTCCCCAACAGCCAGCTCATCGCTAACCCCAGTCTCATGTCCCCAACAGCCAGCTCATCGCTAACCCCAGTTTCGTGGAAAATAAAGTAGAATATATATAAACCATAACAAAAAATAAAATAATTTATACATAACCCCTTTGCTTGGCTTCAGTTTATGCTATCTTTACATATGTAAATTACAATAGCTTATGAAAAACTTTCCACTGGCTGAAGCCTTTTGTGCACTTTCATGAGCATTATGGTGCTAATGTATTTGTTAGCTTAGGACCTCTGGAAGCAAGGTGACAGAACTGAAGGCCGTGTAATCTAGTTCTCAGGTTCCATTTTTCAGCTACTGCCCTTCGGCTGTGTAAATGAGAAGCTATTGCTGAACTCTGTGTATCTGAACAAAATTTAAATGCCCACTGTGCATTCTAAATATGATATTTGTTAGGGTATCATCCATTAAAATGTATGTTTCATAAATTAATATTATCTGCACTCTGTGAATAAAATTGGATGAAAACTGACTTTTATGAATTTGTGTTAAGATTGCTGTGGTCCAAAGCTTGTTACCTAGTGATGCCGTCCCTGTGACCTACCGACCGCTCTGGATTATGCTTTTCTACATTCACAGACAGCACGTGCAGTGTGATGAGCTATGTTGTGTGCTTGCTTCCCGGAGAAGTCATTGCCATCATGTATTTTTATTGCTAGATCGTCTCATCAATTTTAGCTGCAAAGACACACGGTCTTTATCCTCTGCAAGTCCTGAATTATTTCAAGAGTTTTGTTTGTAGCCATCATTTGAGAATCTTCAAATTGACAGGGTCTTGGCAGCAAAGTTGAGACTTTCATTCATTTTCCTAGCTCTCTAGTTTACTTGCGGATTGGCCTCCTTAGAGACCCTTGTTGAACCTTAGGGCAGCAGCTCCTGCCAAAGCCTCCTTTCTCAGTTTGTTTATTAAGTGTTGGGAATCGAATCCCGAGTCTTGAATGTGTGAAGTAAGCATGACAGCATTGGACTGTGCCTTCAACCCTTTTTAATTTAGATTTTTTTTTAAATTTTGAGGTATGCTAGAATTGCTCTGGCTAGCCTGGCTTTTGCTCAGAGAGGTCTCAAACTCACCATCCTTCTGCCTCAGCCTTCATGGAAGCTTGAGTTTCTGTTATCTATATTATCTATATATCGTTTATACATTCACAGTTTGTAGGTATTATCATTTTTTTACCATTTTCCTTCCTTACTGAACTTAAAACAAGGGCTCACTGAAAGAAGCACAAAATACACAACATGAAACATAACTTGTTTATTTCAGAAGTTTAGAAAGCAGTAGAGGACTCGGAGCCGTACTCACCTTCAACTCAGAGAGAGAAAGCGATACCGTATAAGCATGACTGAAAATCCTATATAAGGATTCAAAGTGGTCGTGAAGTAATGCATACACCCTAGTCACCACACTTAATAATTTATGCCTGCAGTTCTTCAGAACACAGTATTCCAACAAATACTTTCTCTTCCTCCAGCTTTTCAACAGCGAAAAGGACTCCGCAGAGGCATCAGAAGCAAATTGTGCTCAGGGGGTGTTATTAGATAGAAAAGAAAACGGGGCTCCCATCTCTTCTGTTAATATTATTGTAGAAATACTTAATCCCCAGGCTGTGAGGCTAATTGTGGGGGAAGGCTTGTTATTAGTGGAGAGAACAAAACATATGCTCTGAGACTGGAAGAAATGATGGGAGTGGAGTGAGGTCGTGAATTCTATTTGACTAAATTACTGCTGAACCAGATCGCAGATGCCGTGTCGGGGCCAGGTGGAAGTCAGCACGCTCTCCTCCTTTTCCATCTGTACAGTCACGGCCATTTAAAGCCCTGCACTTGAATATTGCTGAATATTATCACCTTAGTCATCTTGGCTTTTACGTTATTTTTAGTATTTTATAGCCTATTTACTGCCCCTGGGTGGAACAATTTTTGCCTGGAAAGTCAGTCCAATTCCCCTAAAACTTGGAAACCTACCTTCAGAAGCAACATCTTTTGGTACCTCTTTCCAGGGCGGCGTGTGACAGCCTGTCAGCCAGCCACCATGGTGCCCACCCAAAGCCCTCTGCAGCCGGTCGTGATGGAGGGAGGCTGGACCGAGCAGACTCAAGAGGAGATGAAGCTCATGGAGCGTATACGAGAGACCGAGGTATGCTCCTTGGGGTCCCAGACATGAAGGACTCTGCCCCTGCTAGCAGCATGGATAAGTATCGTGTTGAATTTTTACATCACGCTATTAATATGCTCTCAGCAGCTAGGCAGTTATGACCACCATAACCATATGCCAAGCAACGAGTTGGCATTTGGAGAGTAGCTATCCTGGAGACAGCCAGCTCTCATGAACGTCTGTTTTATTTGAATGGAGACCAGAAATTATGACCTTAGCAAAGAGGAGAGAAAGGCCCAGTGGATATGTACAGAGGTAATTACACTGAGTGTAGTCAAGTTGAACCTTATGGCTTCATTAGTCGTCATTCCTGCGGGTGCTACTCCATATGTAAAAAGAGCAAGCCACACAATGCCGATCACAATGGAGATATTTAGAAGGAAGAAGATGAAAAAGTGGTTTCGGCCAATTGGTTACTCAGTCAAGATGGCCGGACATAAAACATTTGAAAAGAGAAAGGTCAGCTGCTGAGGCAGGATCAGCGATAGAGACTGGGGGAAGCTGCATGCTTCGGGAAATTCTTCATCCAACTCTTTGCCGCTATTTTAGCGGGGCTTATCCAACTCACGACATGTGTTCAGTGCAAATTTTAAGTGTATGTCTAAATCAGGGTGCCTGGAGTGAGGAAGCTGACATTGCTGGAGACTTGACTCCTTGCCAAGCTCAGAAGGATCAGTCCGCAGTCAGGGAATGAGTAAACAAGCATTGTGCTAGGATATGCTTGAGGTAGGATGAGGGGCTGCCAGGCGAGGGCTTGGCAAAGCAAGAAGGTGGCAGCTGCATTTCAGAAACTAGGGAGCTAGGACTTGCTACACACAGTCCCCTAAGCATCGCTGAGCAAGGGAAAACGGAGCTGTGGTTCTGCATCAAAACCTCACTCGTTAATTGAAGAGACGACTCCTGTAGGAGAAACACCACACACACATCCAGAAACATATCGCCCTTCATTTCTCAGCATTGCAAATTAGTTAGATGCTTTATCTAAGTGAGTTTGTCTCTGTTATTACCCCAGTAGCTTCATGGAAGCAAGGAGAATTCACCCAAGTTTATGGCAGGAGAGGTCTGGGCATGCCACACTTACTAGAATACATATACATTGGTATACATTGTGATTACATGGCATTTCTGGCTTCCACCAGATTCCCTTTGCACACCAAATCGTGCTCCATATGAAATATTCTCTGGGCTTTCCTTAACAGGTGCAACTTTCTGAAGGCCAAGAACTACAGCCCAGGTGCTCTCTGATTGCAAGTCAACGTAAAGTAATCCAGAAGCGCAGCCTGCACTGGGTTCCGTGCGTGAAACGAGTGTGGGCCTACCAGAATGGAGGCAGACCTGACAACGGTGCTTATGCCTGGGCCAGCACTATTTCAGAGGTAAGTCTAATGTGAATGTCTAACAGGCCTGGAATCAGACCCCGACTTTGACTTCTCTAGGTTGGCAGATCAGGCAAGTTAATGAACTTCCCTCATTTGTCCAATGGGAATAAAACTGCCCTACAAGGCTGGTCAGGTATTGAACGTGATCACCTGTGTGCACATGTCTAACGTTATCTGAAGTGTGTGTGTGTGTGTGTGTGTGTGTGTGTGTGTGTGTTCGAATAGGACACATGGCCAATTGCACACACTCCAGACCAAGACTGCCCTTTAAAATCACTTACGAGTGGAAATGATGGCCCAAGCTTCTAATTCCAGCACTTGAGAGGTGGAGGCGGGAGGCGAGGAGCTAAAGGTCGTCTTTAGCTGTAATGGTGAGCTGGAGGCCAGCCGGGGCTAAGTGGGACCCAGTTTATTTTACTTAAAATGGTTTTTCTCATGCATCTTAAATCTAGCTCACAAAAGAGTCGTTCTGCTCCCTGCTGTGACTTATTCCCCAGAGATGTTCTTTACGGAAGAGCGGCTGTGGTTCTTACAGAAAGCCTGTCGTAGTCTCACGACCCGCTATCCTGGCCCGACAGAATTCCTGCTTCCCAGAGATAAAGCTCTGGCTTGAGGAGGCAAGCAGCTGCCCCCGAATTGTTTCCAATTTGAAGAATATAAATCTAAAGTTTGGCGCTTTGGTCTTAGTCTTTAAGTGGAAAAGAAGCAAGGGGCAAGTAGGTTTAAATACTAGGCAAAATACTAGACATTCCTAAAGTCTTTGGCTGCAATGGTGATGCTAACACTGCTTTGCCTGTTTTCCTCTGTGAAGGATTAGCATAGACTTTCCTGGGAGGAGAGACAGAAATAATGCCAGGAGCAGGGGTGGGGTGCAATAGAAAGATGCAATAGAAAGGTCTAGGAAGTTCACCAAGTCGATGAAGGTTCTGGGATTGCAGAGGCATCTCAGTTGAGCTGGCCTGCAGGGATGCTCCAGGCTCAAAGCCTCTCTTCACTGAAAGAATCCTGAGTGCAGTCACATCTCAGAAGCTGATGGCTAACTTGCTGCTCTTGAAAAATGAGGTGAAAATGTACAACATTCACGATGAGCAATAAAGGGAAAATGCTTTGTATACCTGGACGAGAAAAAAATGGTTATTTTCAAAAAAGTGAAAGCCGACTTCCTAGAGAGACTCTGAAGAGTGGCTGAAATGGCCACTCTCTGTTCTCTCTGTTCTCTTCAGAAGCAGTCAGCCCAGTGCTGGGCTGGGGAGTTCTGCCTCTGCTCCCATCCCTTACTGGGTGTAGTAAACTCTTTGAGGACAATTAGGGTAGTCAAGGCCAGTTCAGGCTCCGAGCTGTGGATGGAGTGGGACCGGAGTGGGACCAGAGGGAGGTGGGGGAAGATGGTAGGAGGAGGGGAGGAGGAACTAAAGTTAGTATGTAAAATGGGAAAAAAATCTTTTTAATTAAAAAACATAAAAAAGAAAGAAACAAGAGTCAAATGTTGATGCTGCTTCTGAGAGAGCTCTTAGCCTTGGTAACTAAAGGCAATCAAGTCGTGAAAGACTAGGCAGTGATTAGCCAACAGAGAAATGAATGTGGATAATAGGAAAGTTGCCTATTAGACAGTGTGACGCAACTCACAAGGAATTTTCCAAAGATGACGTATGGGTCTATCTAGTCAGAAGCTGGTTTTCTGATTCATGTGGCTCACACTCTTCCAGAATGAAAGGCACTCCCTAACTACGGTTCCATGATCATATAACTTTCATGAACTTTATATATGGAAGTTACAGGGCTAGAAGCTGTGAAGTATCATTTTAATTTATGTCTGTGAGTAGACATTTATAAACTTTGAAAGCACTGTGTAATTGACAGGTTAACATCACTAGGGGAGAGCATGTGCTACAGGATCTCATTAAATTATGATGTCAGGATGACAAAGACTCATTACACTCAGAGGCACGTTATTTAATGTAGATTATTATATTCTAGAACAAAGCAATCCATTATGTCAAAACAAGTATATGTGCTTTAATGACATTCTTGGCAATATTGACTATATTTGACAGGTTTCTTTAATATAAATTATATACTGGTCTTTGTTACTATCTTTAAATTAATTTTTAAGTTAGCATAAAAAGTATTGGGTTGATTTCTTCAGGGAGTTTTTTTTTTTTTTTTTTTTTTTTTTTTTTTTTTTTTTGGATGGTGGTGGTGGTGTTTTTTTGTTTGGTGGTTAGTTCAGTTGGTTAGCTTTTGGTTTTTTGAGACAGGGTTTCTCTGTGTAGCCCTGGCTATTTTGGAACACCCTCTGTAGACCAGGCTGGCCTTGAACTCACAGATTCACCTGTCTCTGCGTCAGAGTGCTGGGATTAAAGGCCTTCACCACCACCTGCCAGCCCTCGGGGTGTCTTCATACATGTGTGTTGTACTTTGTTCTCAGTTCCCCCCTCCACTAGCCTCTCTCTCTACTCCACTCCCCTGGTCCCCGTTCTTCACAGTAGTCCTCATTTGTTTCCCTTTCACGTGTACTCTGTGCTCTCTCTAACTTCTGTATCCCCTAAATTCCATTACTTCCCTCTCCTGACCCCTTCTAGTTCCATGATCTCCAAACATAGACACATACATATATGCATCCTCGTATATAATTTAAAAATTAGGTTCCATGTCTGAGGAAACATGCAACATTTGCCTTCTGGAGTCTGTCATAAACTTGTTTAATATGATTTACAGTTGCATCCGTTATTCTGCCAATGTCGTAATTTCATTATTATTTATGTTTGCATAATATCTCTTTGTGCGCATGTGCTACATTTTCTTTATTCGTTCATCTGCTGATGGGTAGACACCTAGGTTGGTTCCATTCACTAGCTTTTGTGAATGTGGAGGCGTAAGTACCTCTGTGGTGTGCTGACTCAGTGTCCTTTGGCTGTATACCTGTGTATGGAATAGCTGAGCCATTTTGTTCAAACTTCAGTTTTGTGAGGACCCTCCATATTGATCTTCATAATGGTTTCACAACTTTATATTCCTACCAGTCACATATAAAGGCTCCTGCCCACCCCCATCTTCTCCACCCCCATCTTCTCCAATGCTTGCTGTTATTTATTTTCTTGGTGGTAGTTATTCTTCTTTCCCTGGTGACTAAAGATATAAAATACATCATATGGTATTTGCTGGTCATTTATATGTTTTCTTTTGATAATGGTCTATTCAATTCATTAGCCCACTTTTTGATGGAAGAATCTAGTACCTCAGTACTGTGGTGAGTGCAGGCAGAAAGCCTGCCTGCCTTTGTACTTTCAGGGTCTCCTGTCTACCAGACACCCTACAGGAGGGTTGCTGGCCCTGTGGGTATAAACCCCTGCAACGTCAGAGGATGACAGAGAGTTGGTCCCAGAATTTGACCTACCTGCTGGCTCAGAGCTATTAAACCCCAGGGTGATTTTTGGATCTGATCTGTCTTGGGTCACTTTCAGTGGGCCTGTTTTTCCTCTGTGTACTTCCCAGCCAGAGCCTGCCCCCTGCTACCTTCATCTTTCAGCTCACTGATGGCCTGTACTCTACCACTGCCTCGCAGAGCCTTCTTCCACACGGGTTCTGTGTCCGACCAAATCAAGGCTCCCTATCCTGAGGATGTGCCCTGCTCTCAGGTCCTTAGGGTAGCCAGGTTTTAACCATACATCCTGTTTCAAAATAGCCCTGGGCCACTGACCTCTGAGTCACATGATGTGATCAGATTGGATTTTTCCCCACGGTTGATCACATCTTGTAGCTAGACTAAAGCCTGTGAAGACTGTGGGCTTGCTCTGGGGCTAGGACTGACTGTTTCATCCGGGTTACCTTTTGGAGACAGCTTCTGAGTCCTCTTCTTGACTAAGGCTGTGCCATGGCGGCTGTGTTCAGCTGGCTCCTCCGAGTATACATACTATACTGAGTATACCGTTGTACATACTATACTGTCTTTGCTCATTCCAGGACCTTCTACTTCTTTTGTGAATTTCAGAATCAGCCTGTCTCTGTTCCTTTCTTTAGATAAAGTCCTGTTTTTTTTTGTTTTACTCTTCTTAATCTCTCTTTCACCAGCTCTCAGAGAAGTAGCCTCTAATCTGTCTCCTTCGAGGCTGTCTCCTCAAGTTGATAAAGAGTATGAAAATATATTCAGGCTTTAGCTGGGTACAGAGAAATAGGCACTCTCATGTTGATGGAAACTGAACGTTTTAGAGAAGACACACTTGGTTATACATCTCATAAGAAAATGCACTTCGGAATGTATCTACATTAGCTTCTTTGTCACCGTGACAAAATAATGGGCAGGCGCACTTATGAGAGAAAGACTTGGTTTAAGCACATGGTTAAGTCCGTCATAGCAGCGCTCCATCATGGAGGCCACGGTGTCAGGAACATGTACATGTTGTTTCTCGCATTTCAGCAGATAAGGAAGCAGAGAACTTTCAAAGACCCATCCCTAGAGCCCTACTTCAGCCAGCAAGGCCTTGCTTCTTAAAGATTCCTCTAACTGCAGCCACCAGTTGAGGAACGGTGTTAAAGCCCATGAGACTGTGGGGTGGTGTTTCACACTCGAACCATAACCCGCCCCAAGATCATTTCGTGAACCTATACAAAGTTTGTTTGCTAGAGATATTAATCACAGAAGTGTTTTCAATAGAGATAAACTAGGAGCAATTCTAAGCTTATCAATCGGAAATTGGTTAAGTGAATTATAGCACATAGGAAAAAATATCATAACTCAATTAAAATGAACTTTAGGAGAGAATAAAAACAACAAATATGGCTGAGATACACTAAGTAAAATAAACATAATGTAAGGCACATGGAATTAGATTCTATATGCACATACACTGTAAATTGAAAGCAGCGAGGAAGGACTTAACTGCTCCCAGTATTCATTTTTGATTGGGCTGGATCATGGGTTACTTTTATTTTTCTTTC